CCCCCCCCCCGCGGGCTGGCAGAGGAAGGAGACCATTCACGTGCTCGATGATGTCTCAGGTGTGCGTGCCTTTTAAATCAATATACACCATTCATGTGCTAGATGGGTCTCTGAGGTGTATCTCGTGCACAGTCGGGCTTCCTTTCCCGCCTCTCATGTCCTGTATCTCGTGTACCTGCACACTGTATCTTGCGTCGACATGTCTCAGGATGCGTCATGCTCTCTGCTGTACGTTAGACTAAGTGCAATCTGGCACACGTTTCCTGGCCTGACCTGACCTGTCCTGCACACTGAATCTCACGACCAATGTGTACAACACTTGCACAGCACGTGTATCCCACGTGCCACACACCTGTCCCCAACCGATGCGCAACTTGCTTCCCCCAGGTCCACTCACTCAACTCGCCCATTCTGCTCTCCCCTTCCATTGCCATGATCCATCCTCTGCCTTGCCTCTATCCGCTTTCTTCTTGTCACACTTCCTTGCAGCTTCCTCATGCCAGGACTCTCACTACTCCTCCTGGGAACCTCAGGTGAGCCATCTTGTCGTCCTCCACCCACCTGCCGTCAGGCGAGACTCTTGTGGCCTCAGATGAGACTCAGGTGGGCCTCAGTTGAGACTCAGGTGGGCTTCAGGTGGTCCCAGGTGAGCCTCCGTTTTGAGACTGCCAGCTAGCTGTGGACATTGCATTCCTCCCACGCCACCCACCCCGTTATTCCCCATCCCGTTCACTCGTCCCCATGTTGTGTTTACAGGCACTGGCAAATGGATTCTAAACTGCCGCATTATGCCAGGCGGCATCCCTCACCACCAGCACCGTCTCGTATCAAACGCCCCCCCCCGTCACACCTTCTCTGCCCTGCCCTATTCATCCATCCCCCCCACCTCCCCCTTTTCTCTCAAGTTTTCGGCAAGTCAATGCTCATCCGCCTGCTAGCCGACTTTTGGACGTCTCAGATTTTGGCAAGTCAATGCTCATCCTCCTGCTAGCCGGCCGACAACCCGCCAGCAGCGTCACAGTCGCCTTCAACGCCATGTTCATCCACGCACCCCCATCCCATTCATCCATCCCCCACACACCCCACCCACAGGTAGCGGCAAGTCCATGCTCATCAAGCTGCTAGCCGGCCGCCAGCCCGCCACCACCCGGCACCGTCTCGTTCAACGCGCACCCCATCACGCCCTCGCGCGGCGCATCGCCTCGTGGGGGTGGGCTTCGATGCCGACTGCCACCTCCCCGCCCTCGTCCGTGCACGAAACCCTCGCCTTCGCCCGCCACCTGCTCGTACCCGCTGTCAGCCAAGCAGCTGCTGCAGCACCCCATGCTGAGCAAGGCGCTGCGGGCGAGCATAGAGAGGGTGCGAGGACCCTCTGGGTGGCGTCCCGAGAGGCCATGTTTGGGCTGCGACGGCATGCGGGAGAGAAGGTTGGGTCGGGGGCGCTGACCAGAGACGAGGGTGCACCGGCTGACTGCTGCTGAGCTCATGGTTGGCGCTTACCCGGTGAGTGCTGAGGCGGGTTAGAAGGGTGAGAGGGTGACTAGGAACGAGGTGCACCCCCTGACTGCTGCTGAGCTCATGGTTGGCGCTTACCCGGTGAGTACTGAGGCGCATGCACGGTGCGTTGTCTCTCCCTCTTCTTCCTCTCTCCCAAACGCCTCTCCTCTCTCTCCCCCTTGCCTCTCCCCTCTCCCTTCTCCCCTCGCCTCCTGTCCTTCCCCTTCTCTTCCTCTATCCCTGTTCTCCCCGTTTCGCCCCTTTTTTTTTCGATTTCGAGCAGCACAAATTTTTAATGTTCAGGGTTTAGGTAAACGTCGAGAGTCAAAACGTACGCCCAACTCTAGATAAAAAAAAAATCCGTATTGACGCTGGACTTAAGGCCTTCCTAGCGACAAATCTATCCAAGACCAGAAGGAATGCAGTCAGTGTGGGTGCAGGGGGGCCGTGTGCTCCGCTGTGCTGTGCTGTGCCGTGCCGTGCCGTGCCGTGCCGTGCTGTGCCGTGCCGTGCCGTGCCGTGCGGGCCATGCCGTGCTGTCTCTTTCTGTGCTGCGCTGTGCCTGTGCTGTGCGGTGCTGTGTTCTTCTCTACTTCTTTGCGCGCCTCCTCTCCTGTTCTCCACATGCGCTCAGTGCTCACCCACCCACCCCTACTCCCATCCCATCTCATGACCTGCTGCTCTCCCCCTCTCCCCCCCAGGTGCTGCTGTTTGATCGCATCAGCCAGGTGTATGATGGGCCCTCCACACACAAGACGCTCACCATGCTGCGCACCCACGCACAGGTCAGTCAGCCTCTGCTTGTGTGTGCGTGCAGTGCATGTGTCTTTGTGCTCCTCTGCCTCTCCTCCCTCCCTTGGCACCCACACCCACACCCACACCCACAACCCACACCCACACCCACACCCACACCCACACCCACACCCACACCCAACACCCACACCCACACCCACACCCACACCCACACCCCACCTCACCCCCTCACCCACCCTCTCACACACAGGTGCGGCAGCATGTGGTGCTGTGCTCGCTGCAGTCTCCCGCACAGGCGGCCTTCTCCCTCTTCGACCGGGTCATCGTGCTCAAACATCTCTGACGCATCCCTACGCTCTCTGCCCCTCCCCTCTCCCCCTTTTCCCCCCTCCACACCCACACCCCTCACCCACACTCCCACACCCACACCCACACCCACACCGACACACACACACCACACACACACGCACCCACCTCACCCCCCCACCCACCCTCACACACACCAGGTGCGGCAGCACGCGGTGCTGTGCTCGCTGCAGTCGCCCACACAGGCGGTCTTCTCCCTCTTCGACCGGGTCATCGTGCTCAACCAGGGCAACATTGTCTACCAGGGCCCCTGCCACTCCGCGCTCCGACACTTCCAGCAGCTCGGGTGAGTGACCAATACACGCATCTTTGCGTGTATGTGTGTGCTGTGTTCTGTGTGCTGTGTGCTGTGCTGCTTGTGTGTGCTGCTTCTCTTGCTGCGGCACTCAACCAGAGCAACATTGTTTACCAGGGCCCCTGCCACACCGCGCTCAGGCACTTCCAGCAGCTTGGGTGAGCGAGAGGCACACGCGCAAATGATTATTCAATGCTGCAAAGTCGGGAGAGGCACATGCACATGTCAGTGCCGCTTCCTGAAGCCAGATTATCTGCAGTTCAGCACGTTCCGGTCCCCTCTTTCCCCAACCTTTCCTGTCCTCTCTTTCCCCAACCTTTCCGGTCCTCTCTTTCCCCACCCCTTCCTGTCCCCTCTTTCCCCACCCCTTCCTGTCCCCTCTTTCCCCCACCCCTTCCTGTCCCCTCTTTCCCCACCCCTTCCTGTCCCCTCTTCCCCTCCCCCCAGATACTTGAAGCCACTGCACATGTCAGTGCCAGGTTATCCGCAGCGCGGCACGTCAATGCCCTTACTGACTCGCCTTGTCCTCATTCCCTCACTCGTACCCACTCCCCTCTCCTCCCATCTCTCCTGTCCCCCCATCGCCCCATCATCTCCCCCCCCCCCCCCTCTCAGCTACCTGAAGCCACTACACACGTCAGTGCCGGAGTATCTGGCAGCACGTGCTTGAGTGCCATCACCAACCAACTTCCCACCCTTCCCCTCTTCCCCCCTTCCCCCCCTTCCCCCCCCTTCCCCCCCTCCTCCCCAGCTACCTGAAGCCACTACACATGTCAGTGCCGAGTATCTGCAGCACGTCACCACGGAGGGAGGGGGCGCCCTCAGATCCGGCAAGAGGAAGCTGCATGCTCGAGGGCTTCGGTGAGTGCGGTGCTGCTCGAGGGCTTCGGTGAGTGCGGTGCTGCTCGAGGGCTTCGGTGAGTGCGGTGCTGCTCGAGGGCGGTTCGGTGAGTGCGGTGCTGCTCGAGGGCTTCGGTGAGTGCGGTGCTGCTCGAGGGCTTCGGTGAGTGCGGTGCTGCTCGAGGGCTTCGGTGAGTGCGGTGCTGCTCGAGGGCTTCGGTGAGTGCGGTGCTGCTCGAGGGCTTCGGTGGAGTGCGGTGCTGCTCGAGGGCTTCGGTGAGTGCGGTGCTGCTCGAGGGCTTCGGTGAGTGCGGTTGCTGCTCGAGGGCTTCGGTGAGTGCGGTGCTGCTCGAGGGCTTCGGTGAGTGCGGTGCTGCTCGAGGGCTTCGGTGAGTGCGGTGCTGCTCGAGGGCTTCGGTGAGTGCGGTGCTGCTCGAGGGCTTCCGGTGAGTGCGGTGCTGCTTGCTGCTCGAGGGCTTCGGTGAGTGCGGTGCTGCTCGAGGGCTTCGGTGAGTGCGGTGCTGCTCGAGGGCTTCGGTGAGTGCGGTGCTGCTCGAGGGCTTCGGTGAGTGCGGTGCTGCTCGAGGGCTTCGGTGAGTGCGGTGCTGCTCGAGGGCTTCGGTGAGTGCGGTGCTGCTCGAGGGCTTCGGTGAGTGCGGTGCTGCTCGAGGGCTTCGGTGAGTGCGGTGCTGCTCGAGGGCTTCGGTGAGTGCGGTGCTGCTCGAGGCTTCGGTGAGTGCGGTGCTGCTCGAGGGCTTCGGTGAGTGCGGTGCTGCTCGAGGGCTTCGGTGAGTGCGGTGCTGCTCGAGGGCTTCGGTGAGTGCGGTGCTGCTCGAGGGCTTCGGTGAGTGCGGTGCTGCTCGAGGGCTTCGGTGAGTGCGGTGCTGCTCGAGGGCTTCGGTGAGTGCGGTGCTGCTCGAGGGCTTCGGTGAGTGCGGTGCTGCTCGAGGGCTTCGGTGAGTGCGGTGCTGCTCGAGGGCTTCGGTGAGTGCGGTGCTGCTCGAGGGCTTCGGTGAGTGCGCGTGCTGCTCGAGGGCTTCGGTGAGTGCGCGTGCAATGCAAGTTAAGTGAGAGATTTGGTGAGTGCGTTGCTGCTGAGGGGTTTTGTGAGTGCAGTTGCAAGGCTGGGTGCTGTGTGGTTGGTGGGCAGGGTGTGCCTGGGTTGGTGGGGAGGGTGTGCCTGGGTTGGTGGGGAGGGTGTGCCTGGGTTTGTGTACTGTTCTCTCCTGACTCTGGCCTGGCGTGTTAACATCCGTGCTTTCATTCTCATCTTCCTCATCTTCCTCATCTTCCTCATCTTCCTCATCTTCCTCATCCTTTCTCATCCTTCCTCATCCATCTCCCACACCTCCGCATGCTTTTCCTTTCACACACCATCCAACATCCTGCCTGCCTGCCTGCCAACAGTGCGTGCATACAAGAAGTCCCCTCATTACAAGAACATCCTCCGTGTCACAAGCCACCCCACGCCTCTCCTCCTCCTCTGGATCTCCGGGCCGGCATGCCACGTCCTTTCCCGGATCCGCTGCGCGATCGCCGACGTGGCACCTGACGCCACTTCAGCAGACGCCAGCGCTCCAGACGCTGCCACATCAGCTCCAAACGGCGAGCAGCAGCAGGGCGCTGCAGCAGGAAGCAGCGGAGCAGCAGAGAGCTCGTCGGCGGGAGGAGAAGCTAAGGGGTTGGGAGTGTCATCTTACCAAGCAGTAGTGGTGACAGAGTCTCGTGTGATATTCGATGAGGACGGGGGGGAAGGAGGAGTGGGGGCAGGCGAAGCTGATGGGGAGGGACGAGGGGGAGGGAGAGGAGCGGGAAGGAGAGGGGGAAGGGGAAGGGGAGAGGGGGGGCATTTGGAGGAGGGGGTGGAGGCGACGGGACCGGTGTGTGTAGGAGACGTGGTGGTGGCAGTGACGGTGGGCGATCGGGGTGAGATGGAGTATGCGAGGTATGCGGGGGGGGATGTGCCGGTGGAGGAGATAATGGAGATGCTGGAGGAGGTCAGGGACAGCGCCACATGGCTGCATCTGGAGCTGCAGCGACCCCTCAATATAGTCACACAGCCGGTGAGTGCCGGCCGGCCTTGGGTGTGGGAGTATTGTTTTGTTATGTTACGTCATGCTACCTGAGCTTTGGCGAGGGTCGTTTGTGCCTTTTGAGACGTCTCAAAAGTCAAAAGTTTTGAGACGTCTCAAAAGTCAAAAGTTTTGAGACGTCTCAAAAGTCAAAAGTTTTGAGACGTCTCAATTGTTATGTTATGGCTACCTGGGCCTCGGCAAGGGACGTTTGTGCATCTGTCCATCCATCCCCCAGCTGCTTCATGTCGCCTCCCGCCCTTCCAGCGAGAGCGCTCTGCTCTGCCAGGCTTTCCTGTCAAGGGTTTCGGGGTTATCCGTTCCTGTCTCGTCCAACCCCACCACCAGGAAAAGGCAACTCAGTGCGGCGAGGAGGAGGAGCAGACGGAACACCTGTTGACGAGTAGCAGCCAGGCTCCCAGCGACGTGGAGGCCGGCTGTGCTGCTGCTGCTGGTGGGGCTGCTGCTGCTGGTGGGGCAGCTGGTGAGAGTGCACAGCAGGGAGCTGATGCGGCTGAGCCCCCGCCTGGCAGTGCTGCTGCTGCAGGCGCAGAGGCTGAGCATGTGGAGGCCAAGGCCAATGACACGCGTGTTGACATCCATGACCATGACACCCCTGCTGACGCCGACGACACACACGCTTTGGTCAGCCACATTGCCCGGTGCGACAGCGCCCGAGGAGCAGCAGGTGAGGACGACAAGGGAGAGCATGGAGAGGAGGAGGCAGACGCGGTCGCAGCAGCAGGGAGCACGAAGCGGGGCAACGCGAGGGGCATCCAGTCGCTCCCGAAGGCCATCCCCCACGCCATCACGAAAGCCTTCAAGAGCATCGGCCTGTCTGCATTCAAAAGGCTGCAGGGCAGCAGCAGCAGGAGGAGGAGCGGCGCGTTCATGCAGCTGCAGGGGGTGAATGCCGCAGGGGCTCTTAAAGCCATGAACCTGTCGGCTGCGGCGACGGCGTCGCGCGCGGCGGTGATGGCGGGGCTGTGGGGGGGGGCGAACAGAGAGCTGCTGCGCAAGGAGTTGATTCTGGACATGTGGCCTGAGTTTAAGTTGTTGTTGAGGCGGCAGTTGCAGGTCAATCTGCGGAACTGGAGCTTCATTGCTGCCCGCCTGCTGCTGGTAAGTGGGAGGAGAGGAGCTGGTGCAGGCGAGGGGAAGCATGTGGTGCAGAGGTGGGGTGTTTTGGTGCGAGATTGCTGTGGGATTGAGATGGCTGGCTGTGGGATTGAGATGGGTGGCTGTGGGATTGAGATGGGTGGCTGTGGGATTGAGATGGCTGGCTGTGGGATTGAGATGGCTGGCTGAGCGGGGGGCGAGAAGAGAGAGCTGCTGCGCAAGGAGTTGGTTCTGGACATGTGGTCTGACCTTGAGGCGCTCAAAAGACATGTGGCCTGACCTTGAGTTCAAGCTGCTGCTGCAGCGCCAGTTGCAAGTGAACCTGCGCAACTGGAGCTTCATTGCTGCCCACCTGCTGCTGGTGAGAAGAGGGGTTTCTGTGCGTGTGTTTTCTGGGAGTTGCTGCTCTGCAATGAGAGAGGGCAGCGCAACCTGTTTACTGTGTAGCCTGAGGAGGAGGGGTTGACGCTGTTGTCTCTGTCCTGCTTGACTAGATTGCATCCTCCCCCTTCGTTCCCTCCTCTCTGTCATCCCTCCCTCTCTCCCCTGGTCCCTGCAGGACCTCTTTCGTGGGCTTCGACTGTTTCCACCTTCTGAACTGCCTCAGCAGTCGTCTGCTTGTTTCTCCTCACACCCCTTTCCCGCCTCTCCTTCCTCCCTCCCTCTCTCCCCTGGCCCCTGCAGGACCTCTTTGTGGGCTTCGACCTGCTCAGTCTCTTACACCTCCCTGCAGGACCTCGTGGTCTTGGACCTCTTACACCTCCCCGTGGACCTCTCTCCATTCAGTTGATGAAATAACCTTTCTACTTTTCCACCTCCCAATCGTCCTTCTCCCTGCTCCCTCCCTCCTTCACCTGCTTCCCTCCCTCCCTCCGCAGGTCACTCTGCTTGGTCTCTTCGTGGGATTTGATTTCTTCCAGCTGCCAGCCGAACCGCTGCCCTTCGCACACCTGAACCTGCGGCGGGGCGTGATGCAGATATCACTCGCTCATCACCATGACTGTCAACAGCGTCAGCCTTCTGCCAAGTCATACGAAAAAACTTCCCACTAACCCGCCCTCTGTCCCCTTCTCCCTTCTCTATACTCCCTTCGTCCTCATTGTTTCCCTCCCTCCGCAGGTCACCCTGCTCGGCCTCTTCGTGGGATTTGATTTCTTCCAGCTGCCAGCCGAACCGCCGTCCTTCGCGCACCTGAACCTGCGGAGGGGCGTGATGCAGATATCACTCATCACCATGACGGTGAACAATGTGAGCCTGCTGCCGGGCTACATGCTGGAGCGCCAGGTGTACTTCAAGCACCGCAGCGCGCGCTTCTTCCGCACGCGCTCCTACGCGCTCTCGCAGCTCATCGCCAGCCTGCCACTCTCCATCGTTGAGGTGGGTGGGCGGGTGGGCAAGGACAGCTGTACGTTGTTACTGTAGGCATGCCTTGGGAGCTGTCAAGATGTGTGGGGGGTAAATCTTACGCGCTCCTACGCGTTCTCGCACCTCGTCGCCAGCCTGCCGCAGTGTGAATGAGGATGTGGAATGTGGAATCTCGCACCTCGTCGCCAGCCTGCCGCAGTGTGAATGAGGATGTGGAATGTGGAATCTCGCACCTCGTCGCCAGCCTCCAGATTGTGTTGTGAATTGTGATGTGGAATGTGGAATGTGGAATCAAACAGGATGAAGAGTACTTCAATTATCGCAGTGTGCCCAAACTTCCGCTCTTGCACAGCCTTTCCACTTCCCTACTTCCTTCCCCCCCGTCCCCTACAGGCGACCATCTGGTCGGTGCTGGTGTATTTCCTCTCGGGCCTCACGCTCTCCGACTACGGAGCGCACTTCTTCATCTTCCTCTTCGTCCTCTCCCTCGTGGCCATTCACGGCGCTGCCATGATCCGCTTCATCGCCTTCACCTCCCGCACCCTCCGCTCCGCCGCCTTCGCTGCGGCCATCTTCATGGGCCCCGGCATGTTCCTCTTCGGCCACATCCTTGTAGCCAAGGCGCTTATACCGAGTTTCTGGATCTGGCTATACTGGATCAACCCCATGCAGTGGGCGTCGACGGTCCTAGCGATCAACGAGCAGCGGAAGTACGTTCCTGTGCAGTTCTGCCCAGCTCCTGCACTCGTCCCGACCAACATGCCGTACTGTGTGGGGCGCGAGAACTGGCCGATCGGCCGAGCGTACATGGAAGAGTACAGCTGGAACTACGAATGGGGGTATTTGATCGCAGGGCCGTTTGTGATTCTCGCGTGGATTGCCATTTGGACGGTGGGGACGTTTCTGAGCATGCGGCCGCAGCACTACAGCACCTTTGCTGCGCCCGTGAGAGTGCTCTCAGAGGCCAAGCGCGGAGGGAAGCGGGCTGGTGCGAGGGAGGAGGGGAACGGGAATGGGACTGGGGGAGGAGCAACTGGGGGAGGAGCAACTGGGTCAGTAGCAGCGAGGGTTTTGGGGGCAGTTACGGCTGCCATGGGGGGTTCATGGCAGCGGAGGGGCAGTGGGAAGGAGGGAGCAGCAGCGGGCGGAGGAGAGGGCACCTCCCAGAAGAAGCCTGGCGGAGCAGAGGAGCAGGGAGGGATGGGAGGGCATTCGAGCTACAGGGATGTGGAGTGGGGTCCTGGTCCTGCCGTTTCGAGGGACGGCCATGGAAGCTCAACAGCAGAAGAAGCAGCAGTGGCAGCGGCGGCAGCAGCGGCAGAGGCAGCAGGGGCAGCAGAGGCAGCGATCATGGACTGCAACATTCCCTTCACCCCGTACATCATCACGTTTGAAAACCTCTCCTGCTCCGTGCCGCTGCCCTGCCCGCCCGAGAACGCCTGGGGGAAGTCTTCGGTGGGCGCTGGTGGGGAGGCGAGGAGGAGGAGTGAGGCGAGCCGGTGCCTGGTGCGGGGGGTGACGGGGTGGGTGAAACCGGGGGAGGTGACAGCTGTGACGGGCGCCAGGGGCACAGGCAAGACCACTCTGCTCAACTGCCTTGCAGGTGGGCAGGCTTGCTTGATCTGAGGAGGTGCCTCAGGTATAGACTGAATTAGACCGGAATAGACTGAGGCTGACTGAAATATACTAAAATAGACTGAAATAGACTGAGGCTGACTGAAATATACTAAAATAGACAGAAAGAGATTGAGACTGACTGAAATACACTAAAAATAGACTGAAATAGACTGAGACAGACAGATTGACCTAGACTCGGCTCATCTGCTGTGCAGGATAGGTGTGCGCATCTGTTTCTAATTGGTTGGCCTGAGATAATTCTTGAGCCTTGATCACCGTGAGGTCAAGTCAACTCCCTTGCCTCCCTCTTCTGGTCAGCATCATTCATTTCTTCCTCTTTCATACCCTCTCTCTGCTGCTCCACCTTTTTTTTCAGACGGTTTTGTTAAGAGGCTGAATAAATCTCCGATTCTCCGGCATCATTCTTTACCTTCCACTTTCATCCCTTCTCTCTCAGGGCATCAACTGCTGCGCCCCCTTTCCTTTCTGCCTTCCCCCCTGCTTCCCACGCCAGCAGTTTTGAGACGCTTCAGAACTCAATCCAACCCTTTTTCTGCCCGCATACCCTGCTTCCCTGTCCCACAGGCCGAGAGACCGGTTTTTGAGGTGCCTTTTGAAGCGACTTTTGAGGCGCCTCAAAAGTCGCCCACAGGCCGCGAGACCGGGTTTTGAGGCGCCTTAAAACTAATGGCCAGGCGCCTGCTGATGAGCAGCGAGTAGAGAGATTTCTGGTGGTTCCTTTGCACCACAGCGTACATCCAGGGCGCTGACCTCCTCTACCCGCTGCTCTGCTCACCCTGCGAGAGAGCCTGCTGTACTGCACCGCTCTCACCACAGCATGCATCCGAGGCGCCGCTGATTTCTACTACCTGCTCTTTCTCCTCCCTCCCGCACCCGCAGGCCGCAAGATACCCGGCAAGGTGAATGGCCGACTGCTGGTGAACGGAAAGCCAAGGGACCTCCCATCGTTCCTGCGCACCACTGCATACATCCAAGGCGCCGACCTCCTCTACCCGCTGCTCACCCTGCGGGAGAGCCTGCTGTACCGCACCACCCTCACTCTCCCCGACCAAGTACAAGACGAGCAACGCCGCGCGTTCGTCGCGCAGATTTTGTCTCTTACGGAGTTTACGGGCGGCATGGCGGACAGCCTGGTGCAGGATATTCTGGCGGACGGCGTGGGGTCGGCGTATGTGGAGAAGCGGATCGTGTTTGCAATGGAGATGGCGGGCAACCCCAGCGTCGTGTTCTTTGACATGCCGTTCCTGCGCATGGACACCACTGAAGTGGCTAAGTTCTCCGGCATGCTCAAGGTGCGAGCCCGGACAGGTTGAGGTCCAGTCAAGTCAAGGTAATCCAGAACCGGAGCGTCGTGTTCTTTGATATGCCGTTTCTGCGCATGGATACCACTGCGATACTTGGGGCATACAGCGATTGCAAAGGGGCCTGAGGGGTTGTGTTTACGATGGAGATGGCTGGGTGGGACAGTGTGGTGTGTTTGACGACTTTTAAGGCGCCTCAAAACGACAGTGTGGTGGTTTTGACGTGCCGTTCCTCCGCATGGACACCTCTAAGGTGGCCAAGTGTCCTGGCATACTCAAGGTAAGATGCTTGAGTCGATTTCCAGACATTTCCAGCAAGCAGCAGCGGAGGAAAAAATTAAAAACGTCTGCTCGCTGCTGCTCGCTGCTGCTCGCTGCTGCTCACTGCTTCTTGCTGGAAATGTCTGAAAGCCGGCGAGATTCTCAGGCATGCTGAGGTGAGGTGAGATGCATGAGTCAATGTGCACAATCTATGAAAGCACATCTGATGCTGTTCAATTATGTCACTTCATCACACCATGTCCACTTGTTCCCCCATACCCCATGCTATCGCGCCCCTCCCTCCCAACAGCACGTGGCGGCAGCATGGGGGAGAGCGATGGTGGTGGTGTCGAACGCGGTTACCGCCTTCCATCTGAACGCCTTCCACTCGCTGCTCATGCTGGGCAGCGGGGGGGACATGGTCTACTTTGGGCCAGCGGGCAGGAACGGGAACGCACTGGTGGTGAGTGGAATGACGCAGCGTTCGAGGCATGCCGCTCGTGGTGAGTGAGTGGGATAGTGCAACTTCCATCTCAACGCCTTCCACTCGGCGTGGGGTCGGCGTGGTCTGCTTTGGGCCTGCGGGGAGGAACGGACGGGAATGCACTTGGGCATGACCAGCGGGTGCCGGTGATTGGGCCGAGGAAATGCACTCGCTGCTCATGCTGGGCCGCGGAGGGGACATGGTCTGCTTTGGTCCTGCAGGGAGGAACAGCAACGCTCTCGTGGTGAGTGAATGAGATGAAGCAGCTTTTGAGGCAGCTCCAAGGCAACAACTCAAAGCAGCGATTCAAAAGCAGCAGTGGGGAAACATGCGCGGGATTGTGGGGTGGGGACACGGTTGGTTGACTTTGGCCCTGTGGAAAGAAACACAAAGCACTCGTGACGATGAGATGAGATGCTGCCTTTGTTCTAGTGGTTCAGTCAGACTGGGTAGGTCGTTGTGTGAAGTTCCGAACTGCGGATACTGTAATTCCCCCTAGCATGACTCCATAACACCCCCCACCATCCCCTCTGTTACCCCACACTCCTCCTCCCCCTGCAGGAGTATTTCTCGGCCATCCCAGACACGCCCCCAGTGCCCCCCCACACAAATCCCTTTACATTCATGCTTAACGCTCACCGCCTCTCCAATCCCCTCAACTCCCCCCCCCCATACCCCCTGCGTGCCCTTATTTCCTTCCTCCTGCAGGAGTATTTCTCAGCCATCCCGGGCACGCCCCCAGTGCCCCCACACACGAACCCCATCATATTCATCGAGCACCTGCTGGGGGACGACGCCACTGCCACCCGGCAGCGCGCCACCGCGTGCGACTACGCCGTGGAGTACCGCGTCTCCGATCTCGCTATGCTCAACGCCCACCGCCTTTCCGCTCTCCGCCGCGGCGGCGCTGCTGCTGCTGCCGCCTTTGCTGACCACGCCGCTGCTGCCAATCTCGAGGCTGCCAAGTCAATGGGCAGGGATGCTGCTGCTGCTGCCGCTGCTGCTGCCGCCGCTAGTGGCGGTGGTGAGAGTGGGAGGGGATTCGTTGAATCAGGAGCGGGTGGCATGGAGCACGAGAGCGCCAGCCTGGCAATGGTGGCGTCTGACTCAGCGTGGTCCCTTGCTGCGTTGGAGCAGGAAGAAGCAATAGCAGCCAAGGGGGCAGAAGCCTTAGCAGGGTCAGTGAGCGGGCGTGACACCGGTGCTGCTGCTGCTGCGGCTGTTGCTGCTGCTGCTGGTCTGACTGGAAGTGAGTCTGCGGAGGGAGAGGGAGAAGGAGGAGGGGGTGGAGGAGGGTGGCTGAAAGCCAAAGGCATGATTCGACGCCGAGCAGCATCCGCTGCAGCAGCAGCTGCGATAGTGTCAAACGCAGCAGAATCCCACGCAGCAGCAGCCGCAGCAGCAGCAGCAGCAGCAGCAGCAGAAGCGGAAGCAGCGGCAACAGCAGCAGCGGAAGCAGAAAGCACCCCCAACGAAGAAGCCACGCCAGCCGAGCCGCTCCTCCTCATGCCCGCGCTGCCGCCCGTGGCAGTGAAGCTCCCGAGCCCATGGCGCAAGCTGATGGCGGTGCAGTACAGCATCCACCTCTTCTACTGGCGCAACACCTCGCACTCCCTCAACCGCATCATCCAGTCCTCCATCCTCGGCCTCCTCATCGGCTCGCTCTTCTCCCAATACCCCGTGCACAACCTGCTGCAGGTGAGGGCACAACCTGCTGCAGGTGAGGGGCACAACCTGCTGCAGGTGAGTGGCACAACCTGCTGCAAGTGAGTGAGTGACCCCCCCGGTGAGTGCTGGCGTTTGGCACGTCAGTCCACGACGGTACCACTCTCTGCTCATGCGCACTGGCTCCCTCCTGCCCCACTCCCACTTCTTTCTTCCACCCGGCACACCCCCCCACAGGCCACCACAGCACAGGAGTTCCCCTCACAGTACTGGCGTTCGGCACGACGCGGCACGGAGGCACGAGAGAGGGGGGCTGGCCATTCTGATCTGCTCCCTTTTGCACCCCTCCTCTCCCACCAACCATCCCCCTGTGCGCCCCACGTCTCTTGTGCAGGCCACCACAGCGCAGGCGTTCCCCTTCGCAGTGCTGGCGTTCGGCACGACGCGGCACGGAGGCACGAGAGTGGGGGGCTGGCCATTCTGATCTGCTCCCTTTTGCACCCCTCCTCTCCCACCAACCAACCCCCTGTGCGCCCCACGTCTTTTATGCAGGCCACCACAGCGCAGGCGTTCCCCTTCGCAGTGCTGGCGTTCGGCACGACGCGGCACGGAGGCACGAGAGTGGGGGGCTGGCCATTCTGATCTGCTCCCTTTTGCACCCCTCCTCTCCCACCAACCAACCCCCTGTGCGCCCCACGTCTCTTGTGCAGGCCACCACAGCGCAGGCGTTCCCCTTCGCAGTGCTGGCGTTCGGCACGACGCTGCACGGAGGCACGGCGGTGGGGCTGGTGAATCAGACCAAGAAGGTGTTCACCCAGGAGCGCATCTACAACCAGCACTTTGCTTTCCTCTACACGCTGGGCTACACCGTGGTTGAGGTGAGACCGTGTTTGCTTGTCTGGCCAGCATAGCAAGTACTGAATTGTGAGAGTGCGTGCGTGCACAACCAGCACTTTCCGTTTGTTCACACGCTGGGGTAAATCATGGTTGAGGTGAGATTGTTGTTGCATGGCGTTCACACACACACGCGCGGAGGCACGGCGGTGGGGCTGGTGAATCAGACCAAGAAGGTGTTTGCACAGGAGCGCATCTACAACCAGCACTTTGCGTTTCTCTACACGCTGGGCTACACGGTTGTTGAGGTGAGGCAGCTGTTGCATGGCATTCACACACACACAGGCACGGAGGTGGGGCTGGTGAATCAGACCAAGAATGTGTCCTCCCAGGAGTGCATGTACAACCAGCACTTTGCCTTCCTCTACACGCTGGGCTACACCGTGGTTGAGGTGAAACAGTCAGTGGTTGCTTGTTTGGCAGAGTACTGTTTGCACATGACCCTGTGTACAGCCGGCACTTTGAGTTTCCTCTGTTTTCCCCTAAACCCTCTGATCCTCTACCTTCGGTTCACTTCCCTCATGCCCGTAGCCGTATAATCACCATTACCAGGCCTGGCGGTGGGCAGCAGTAGCTTGAACTTCCGCGCTCACATGTTCGTGCAGGTTTGCGTGAACATGTTCGTGCAGGTTTGCGCGAACATGTTCGTGCAGGTTTGCGCGAACATGTTCGTGCAGGTTTGCGCGAACATGTTCGGCATTCCATCATAACCGCCTTCATCCCCTGCTTCTCCTTTTCTCCTCTTCCCCGCGCAGATCCCCTACCTGCTGCTCACCTCCCTCGCACTCGTGTCAGTGGCAGCGCCACTGGCGGGCCTGGCAGTGAGCAGCGCGGCGCTCTTCTTCTCCTTCGGCCTCACGCAGTTCCTGGCCGCTCTCTCCGTCACCTACTTTGGCTTCATGCTCTCCGTGCTGCTGCCCCACCCCAAGGTGCGCCCCCACCCCAAGGTGCGACAAGCTGGTCCAAGGTGAGACAAGCTGGTCCAAGGTGAGACAAGCTGGTCCAAGGTGAGACAAGCTGGTCCAAGGTGAGACAAGCTGGTCCAAGGTGAGACAAGCTAGTATTCCAGAATTCGAAGCAACCAGCTTCCCTCCCACAAGCGTTTTTTGAGAATTCTCAAAAAACACTAGCAGGGCTGGCAGTGGGTGGGTGGGTGGGCAGCATAGGGGCGTTCTTCCCTTTTGGTCGCACCGCACGCTCCTTGCTGCCGTCTCCGTCACCTACTTTGCCTTGCTTCTCTCCATGGTGTTGCTGCCCCCTGCCTCCATGGTCTTCTCTCCATGGTCCTTCCCCAGCCCAAGGTGTTGCTGCCCCCCGTCTCTCTTGTGTTACTCCTACCCTAAGTTGCTGCCCCAACCCATGGTACTCTTATTTGTTCTGTTCCCAAGCTGCTATTGCTATTCACTCATCCCCTGAGATGAGAAGCACTTGATAATTCTCCCATTATACTGCCCGAACCAAACCCGTACTGTTCAGAGGGCATCCCACAATTCTGCCAGGTCCTTTCTTCTCCCCTACCCTGCCTGGTGTGAGATTAGTTCTGAGTCGACTCAAAAGCCTTCCTGCCCCTACAATGTCTGTTTTGTTCCTTCTAAGCTGACTCAAAGGTCATCTCACAACATCTCGCCAGATTTTCGAGTCCTACACTCACAGTTGCTGGCATAAGTGTGGTGGTGCCATGACATTGGTCATCACAGCATGAATATTGGATGATGGATGATGGATGATGGATGGCGGGTAACCACAAGGGCACACGTTTACCCTTCCTCCTTCTCCCCTGCCCTTGCCCCCATGTTCTTCCCCACCCCACTCCCACAGTACGCAGCAGTGGTGCATTCCTTCCTCATCACGGCATGGGTTGTCTGGCATAGTGCCGTTTCTTTCTGCCCTGTTCATTCCCAAGCCACAGAACCCTCATCCCGCCCATTCCCCCCTCCCTTCCCTTCCCCTCCCACTCCCCGCACTTACAGTACGCCACAGCGTTGGTCTCCTACTCGTCACACGCCATACACCCCTCATCCCCATCGCCACCCCCCGCCCTCCCTGTCCCTCCCCACGCCCCTGACCACAGTACGGGGCAGTGGTGATTTCCTTCTTCATCACGGCGTGGGTGGCGACGTGTGGCTTCTTCCTGCCCTACGCCTTCACCAAAAACTTCTTCCTCGCCGTCTATTGGACCAACCCCATCCAGGTTCGTTGCTCTACTTATTAACATGAATTCCGTGAGTAAGTAGACCACTTTTGAGACCTCTCAACAATACTTCGTTCTCGCTGTCTACTGGACCAACCCCATTCAGGTTTGTTGCACTACTTATTGGTTCACAGACTCATCATTTACTGACCGGGTCGTACTTCTATTGAATGAGGTTGGTCCAGTATTGTCACCGCTACTGAACCAGTTCCAGTCAGCTGCCATCTACTAGCCATGCCGACCCAATTCACAGCAGCATTTCTCTTTCAATGTGACTCAGAGGTGAATTGTCTGGCTGGGAACGCCGATTCCGGCTCTTCTGTCATGGTGTTGTTGATGCGGGATGAAACTGCACATCCGGTAGTCCCCTGAGCTTCCAGCTTTACCAATCACCGCCCCTTTCTCTCTTCTTCTTCGCTGCACTCCTCCCATCACCCATCCTTCCCATACCAGGCCTGTCTTCCCTCCTCAATCTTTCTCCCTGCAACCATTTCCTGGCCTACAGACCTACTGTTGTCCAGGCACAGTGTAGTCACTTGTCAGGATTCTCTCAACTCCTGTGGCATCGCCTCTGCACCAATCTCCCCTCTCTCCTCTCTACCCCCATCCCTCTCTTTCCCTCTGTCCTCATCCCTCTCCTTCCCTCTGTCCTCATCCCTCTCCTTCCCTCTGTCCTCATCCCTCTCCTTCCCTCTGTCCTCATCCCTCACCTTCCCTCTGTCCTCATCCCTCTCCTTCCCTCTGTCTTCATCCCTCTCCTTCCCTCTGTCTTCATCCCTCTCCTTCCCTCTGTCTTCATCCCTCTCCTTCCCTCTGTCCTCATCCCTCTCCTTCCCTCTGTCTTCATCCCTCTCCTTCCCTCTGTCTTCATCCCTCTCCTTCCCTCTGTCTTCATCCCTCTCCTTCCCTCTGTCTTCATCCCTCTCCTTCCCTCTGTCTTCATCCCTCTCCTTCCCTCTGTCTTCATCCCTCTCCTTCCCTCTGTCTTCATCCCTCTCCTTCCCTCTGTCTTCATCCCTCCCTCTCCTTCCCTCTGTCTTCATCCCTCTCCTTCCCTCTGTCTTCATCCCTCTCCTTCCCTCTGTCTTCATCCCTCTCCTTCCCTCTGTCTTCATCCCTCTCCTTCCCTCTGTCTTCATCCCTCTCCTTCCCTCTGTCTTCATCCCTCTCCTCCCCTCTGTCCTCATCCCTCTCTCCCCTCTCTCCCCATCCCTCTCCCCCTCTGCCCCTATCCCCGTTCCCCCACGCAGTACGCCCTGAACGGCCTCACAGCAACAGCCTACTACTGCAACACCTCTGCACCGGAGTGCACCATTCCGGGCTGCCCCGGCACCAGTTCAGCCTGCGACAGCTGTCCCTGCAAGTGGTACCTCAACCCCATCAGCGGCCCTGAGTATCTGTGGAACTTCCTCGTCGCCACCAAGTCGGCACGCAGTGCCGTGCACTGGGACTGGCTCTTCCTCCTCTGCTTCTGCGTCTTCTGCCGCGTCACTGCCTTTGCTGCGCTGCGCTTCCTGCGCCATAACCACCGGGCATGAGACTTAAAGGCGTGCTGAGCTGACTTGCCTCAACACCCACAACTACCATATTTAAGCCGTAGATTTGTCTCAACCCCATCAGAGGCCCCGAGTATCTATGGAATGGAACTTCCTGGTCCCCTCGCCACCAAGTCGGCACGCAGTGCTGTGCACTGGGACTGGCTCTTCCTCCTCTGCTTCTGCATCTTCTGCCGCGTCACCGCCTTTGCTGCACTGTGCTTCCTGTGCCACAACCACCGCGCATGAGCATTTGAGGCGGCCCCATGAACACCATGATCGAACTACACGAGTTGAATGGCCACCCACATCAGAAATGCCACTCGTGAGAACTGTTTGAGTCGAGTGCTTTTTCCTATGATACCTACGGTAATTTGTTGTGCAGTTCAGTTCAGATACCGAGGTGGTTGAATACTTGCTGGAGAATGCCTCTGATGATGATGAACACTAGAAGGGTTAGTGTACTGTTTGATGCTTGCTATTGCTGATTCTACCTTGTACGGTAAGTGCTGTGCTTTGTGGCAGTGTGTTAACTATAAGGTTACATCCAGAAAAACACTTGGCATTTAGCAGTACCATGTTCATGTCTGGTGTGTTGGGAGATGCAATGCAACCTAGCATGATGGTAACTCGGCAACACATAAACTGCCCACCAAAATGTGCACCAGGATACCGTTCTGACTGTCATACAAAAGCTGTTGTGTTGACAACCTGCAGAGCCTTGCTGCTGCATCATGCAGAAAAGCTGCATCATGCAATCCAAACAGCTGACAACAGGGGCAAAGCAAATCCAGCGCCACGACCCTCCAACCAACGAGCCCCTTACACTCAGTGTGATGCAATGCAAGCAACTATCTCTATTGTAACACGTCAGTCACCAAACTCAGTGTAGTAACTTTGTAACCCCTGAGTGTAGTAACTTTCTAACCAATCAGTTACCCCCGGACACTCAGTGTAGTAACTTTATAACCAGTCAGTCACCCCCGGATACTCAGTGTAGTAACTTTGTAACCAGCGAGCCTTGCATGCGTCCGAGCACAGCCCCATTGGGAAACGAGGGCGTTTTCACCACCACATAGAACTTTCCCGGCCTCTTTATAAGCTCATCCAGTAACTTGCGCAACGACTTGCCCGTAGAGTCTACTTGTACACCCCGCGCCTTCCGCACTGTACCCTCTTGCATAAACCCGTACCCCTTGTAACCGCGTAACCGCTGCATGGGCGTTGGGTCAACAGCCAACCACGGAAATGAAAGGGTCGACGAACCTGCAGAGGTGTAACCTGTATTTGCACCCGAGGCTGCTTGTAGCGAGTCGAAGGAGAGAACGACGTTGGTGTCGCCCGTGCCGTCGCGTTTAGGGTTTCCGCGGTGGATGCTGACTGATAGGGGCACCTCGTTGCGCGACAGTCCCAAGGTGGAAGTGAAGAAGCGAATGTTGTATTCACTGTTCCATCTGTTTGGGGATGTCGTGAGAGCAGAAAGGAAGTGGAAAAGTAAGCAGATGGGATAGAGTACAAAAGAGCACGCAAAGGGTATATCAATCAGCCATGAAAAGGCTAGACCAAGGATAGGATGGAGAGGGAATGGCGGGAGGGGTGACGGATGGAAAGAGGGGTAAGGGAAAACCCGAGCTGCTATGGATTGTATGAGAACCTAGGAAGGTCCAAGGATGCATGCACAATGAAGGGCAACCGCTGCCCAGCTTGAACATACAGCTCGTATGTACCCTGTAGAAGCGCACTCACTTGTAGATGTTGATATCGAGCCATCCATGTGCTCCCTTGTCCCCCTTAGAGCCCGGAACGGCCTTGCCTGTGAGCTTCGCGTACACCTCCCCTGCCAGGAAGAAAAGGTGGAGATAGAGAAAAGGAAGTCAAGAATACCTGCCTTCCGCTCAGCCCGCCTTCCACTCAACTGGGGGAGGATAGTAGGTGACGGAATAAACGTCGCTGGATATACACGGATTGGGGTGGCGGGATAAAGTGGCGGTGGGGGGCGTGAGAGAATGGAAGCTAACACATGCAACACGGCCATGCCTGCTACCAAGCATGCGATAGCGACGACGGGAGCGACAAGGTCGGCAGGGGTGGCAGGGGCGACAGGGGTGGCAGGGGCGACAGGGGTGAGAGGGGCGGGAGGGGTGGCAGGGGCGAAAGGGGCGAGAGGGGCGGGAGGGGTGCGGAGCATACTGTAAGGCAGGCCGATGAAGCCGCTGCGAGTGCTCTGCGTGCCCGCTCCGAACTTGGCGGCGTTAAACACGGTCGACACGTTGAGCGCCTTGCGCCACCGGAGCGAGGGCTGCGCCGTCACTCCCAGGGTGCCTGCGGACAGATGGAACGAGGAGATGAGGGCGTGGAACACTGCGCGCCGATTGAAAGTGGCCCATGCGGCCACTCTCGGGGTGCTTGCACGATGGAAGAAGGAACCGAGACAGTTGAACGCTCTCTTCTGAGTCCACACATAAAGCCCTGCTGCGCGCCGATTGTAACGGAGATATGAGGCACTGAGCACTGCTGCGCGCCGATTGTAGCGGAGATATGAGGCACTGAGCACTGCTGCGCGCCGATTGTACTTTCTAACGCACCCCAGGGCCGAATGGGGGAAAGGAGGGCAGTTCGATGACTCTTGCACCACTTCCGAGGTCCTAAACTCATTCTGTAGGGTAAATACCCATGCAACAAGTGGTTACCCCTGGGTAGCCTCTGGGGTCACCTGGAGTCACTTGTGGGGACCACACCTGAGAGGGCGATGCATGCGAGGAGAATGCCAAGGGCGTGGGCGCGAACATTCAGACCCGTATTGCTCGCCATGGATCTTCTGACCGGCCGACACAGTGTTCTCGATTTGAGAGTTCTTAGAAGTGACTCCCACAGTGCTCCCGCTTTGAGATCGAACGCAACTATTCACTCGTATGCAGTTGCTGACGATGGGAGGCAGGGCTTTGTTTAGACTGCTTCTTGCGAATCGTTTTTACGACTTAACAGAACTGTTCCCAAGACGTTAAGTGTGAAACTGCGAAGTACGCTTCACAAGCTATGTACACTCGGCGTTTCTGCGTCTTCGAGCCGAGAAGGCGGCTGCGGGATAAGAAGCCTGCTCATTCGACGCTCCGAAATAGACCTAATGGTTGGATCGATGACTCCAACCCGCGCAGCCTCGAGAACGCCGCAGCAGTCTCGGTAAGCGTGTGCTGGTGTGGTGTGGAATGTACAGTGTGTCTAGCACCGTAGGTCCAGTTTTGATGTCGACTTCCTCACAGAGGAGTGGCACGGAAAGAACGAGGCAAGGGTGGTACTGTAAAGCATCACTGTCGTCAGAGCGCCAAAACGAAACTAAATCACGAAATTGCCTCGCTGACATCGAAGCGCAGGGGTGGTGTCTGGAGCCGCCTGTCAGCCATTGAGACAGGATACTGAAATATGTTTGTTCTGGGCATATGCCCTGAATCGGGCTGAACAAAAAAGGGAATCTGATCCATAAGCACGGATTGTGAAGGTTGCATAACCACGTCACCCTACGCCACCCGTCCTCAGCTCTCCGCCACTCGTTATAATTCCCGTGCACTTTTCGAAAGATCTAGCTGTGAGTTGTCACCAACACTAAGAACAGCTTATCGGCGAAACAGACAGGTTACAATCCACAAGTACCCCTCAGTCCCTGGAGCATTTTTCAAAGGGGACCGAAGCTTCCAAGCTGCCTCAAAACATAATCGTAGGTTACTGTCAACTCGGAATACCCGGCCAACCAACACAGTAAGCGTTTCGCGCCAATCGCGATAGTACCAGGGACCCATGCGGATAAGGAACAAGGAAAATATAACTCCAACTTCAATGAGTGTACTAGAAACATACAGTTTTTTTGTTTTGTGTACATCATCTCAAGCTGAAAATTACTAGGCCCACAGAAACCACCGCAAGAGAAGAGAAATAAATGCTCTCAACCTGCAAAACAGCAGAATTTTTTTGCATGGTCAGTGAGCATGCACAGCATCCAATTCCCGCTTGGCAACACAAATAACTTGCTTGTAGACAAAAGCCTCAAATGACATATTACTCAAAAGCCTTCACAGAAAAACTGAGAGCTCAAGTCTTTAAGACTCGAAAGCGCCGACTCACAGGCTGGTTAAAGACAAGAGCCGCCACTCCCGCCGCCCAGAGGTCTGATGTGAGGAGGGAGAGGTTGAAGAGAGCGGCGCCGCCCAGCTGGTTAGATGGGGAAGGGGGATCGGCAAGGGGCAGGACGAGGGGTCAGTGAAAGCAGGGAATGAGTCAAGCATGAGAAGATAGTGCACAGTAATGTGAAGTGGTATTCAGCTTAAGCGCACACATGATAAGCTAGGTGGTGGACAATTGAATATCTGTAAACACACACACACGCACGCACGCACGCACGCACGCACGCACGCACGCACGCACGCACGCACGCACGCACGCACGCAGGCAGGCAGGCAGGCAGGCAGGCAGGCAGGCAGGCAGGCAGGCAGGCAGGCAGGCAGGCACGCAGGCACGCGCACACACACACACACACACACACACACACACACACACACACACACACACACACACACACACACACACACACACACACACACACACACACACACACACACACACACACACACACACACACACACACACACACACACACACACACACACACACACACACACACACACACACACACACACACACCACACACACACACACACACACACACACACACACACACACACACACACACACACACACACACACACACACACACACACACACACACACACACACACACACACACACACACACACACACACACACACACACACACACACACACACACACACACACACACACACACACACACACACACACACACACACACACACACACACACACACACACACACACACACACACACACACACACACACACACACACACACACACACACACACACACACACACACACACACACACACACACACACACACACACACACACACACACACACACACACACACACACACACACACACACACACACACACACACACACACACACACACACACACACACACACACACACACACACACACACACACACACACACACACACACACACACACACACACACACACACACACACACACACACACACACACACACACACACACACACACACACACACACACACACACACACACACACACACACACACACACACACACACACACACACACACACACACACACACACACACAACACACACACACACACACACACACACACACACACACACACACACACACACACACACACACACACACAACACACACCACACACACACACACACACACACACACACACACACACACACACACACACACACACACACACACACACACACACACACATTCAAGTGCACATAGAGCAGTTGTGTTTGGGGAGCTTACACGGAGCATGAGGGGAGTGAGGGAGTAGAAGGCGAAGAGGGCGATCGAGAAGAGCACCATGGGGAGGACCTGTGGTTTGAGTGAGGGGCGGAGGGATGTACCGAGGAGAAAGGGAAGGGTGGCTTAGGAGGAAACATAGATGTGCGACATCTGTACACAGAAAATCAATGCGCACATGTGGATGTAGAACAACCAGAAGCTATACATAACAGCCAAGCAGAACTTCCCCCAGCCAAGCATGTGGGACACTAGCAGCAGGCTGGGGAGCTAGGAAATAGGGTAGCCTTGATATCAGATGGGTAGAGAGTCATAAAAAGTAAGCAGTTCTAGAACATGTAGTCACAGAGGGTAGGTAATGAGGGAAACTAAATAGTGAGAGAAAGTAAATGGTGAGATATTGTGGCATCCAACTATGTGAGTGCATTGAGCATACAGTGTGGGCATCAAAGTGCAGGGAGTGCAGGTCTGCTCCCTCCAGGAGAAGTCTGGATCGGGCAGATGGGTGTGGGGGGGAGATAGGCGGATGCAATGGGGAGAAATAAGAGTGCGCGAGGATAGACGAGTTACGAAACACCAGCCATACATGTTAGCAAACAATGCATACATGGAGTGACGTACCCACGTGCTACAAAGGATGGATGGCAATGATGAGTTATGAGTCGACTAGAACACATGTGTGCTGTGCTGTGCACACACTGCACTGCACACATTGACTGGCGTATCCACGTGCTGTACAAAGGTTGAATGCCAATGACCGCCGTGTGATACTATCGAGGTACTTAATCGAATTATGAGTCGGCGCAATGGAGGTATCCAAGTGCGATACAAGGGTTGGATGGCGACAGTGCTCTCACACACATGTTCTACTAATGAGGTACTGAGATAGTGCGCTTACAGCTGTGTGAAGCTAATGAGGGATCCCGCGCAACCAATGAACGCCAGCAGCTCTGTTGTCTCGACTCGATGCGCAAGATACTCCTGTGGGAGAGAGGAGGGGCATTTGGGGAAAGAAAGTGTGGCAGGGTTTCGGGTTTTCAAAAGCCATCTCGTGCACTTTAAGAAGGCCAGCAGCTCTGTTGTCTCCACTCGATGCGCAAGGTACTCCTGTGAGAGGCGGGGCACTGGAGACAAGAGAAAGAGAAAGAGTGTGGGGGTAGGGATTCATCCATGCAGAAAATGCATATGTGTGGCCATCCAAGAAAAGGTGCACGGTGGGATGCTCACAACACACTCACCACGCACTCACCACGCACTCACCACACACTCACCACGCTCTCACCACGCACTCACCACGCACTCACCACGCACTCACCACGCACTCACCACGCACTCACCACGCACTCACCACACACTCACCACGCACTCACCACGCACTCACCACGCACTCACCACGCACTCACCACGCACTCACCACGCACTCACCACGCACTCACCACGCACTCAGCACACACTCACACCACCGACACATTCTGACAGCGGACATAGAGTGGAATTGCCGCAGCGCTCACCACAGTCACATTGGAAGCAGCATACAGAGTGGCACCGAGAAGCACAAGCACATTCCCCAAAGTCGCGTTGCTGCTGCTGCTGCCAATGGCAGTGCTGCTGCCTCCGTGCTTGGATGGGCCTGTGAGTGAGTGAGGGAGGGCGGTGGGTAGAGGAGGGGAGGAGGGCGGGGGCGAGAATCAAGGGAGGTCTGAGAGGTGGGAGCAGAGCTGCAAGGTGCGTGACGGCTGGGAGCGTTGCTGCTGCTGCCACTGGCAGTAAAAATCACTTTTGAGAATTCTAAAGAATGATTTCCATGGAGCGTTGCTTGCTGCTGCCACTGGCAGTGCCGTCTGTGTGTTCGACGGGCGTGGGGATGATGGAGTGGCAGCAGCCAGCAGGTAGGGCAAGAAGGGGAGACAAACGTGGGAAAAAAATGAAGGAATATTTCGTTGGGCAGCCTCAAAGCAAGCACATTCTTCAGTTGCGTTGCTGCCGCTGCCAGTGGCAGTGCCGTCTGTGTGTTTGGATGGGCCTGGGGATGAGGGAGGGGCGGTAAGGAGAGAAGGGAGGACAGCTGCAAGATGCGAGGTGCCTGGGAGCGTCGCTGCTTGAAGCGTTGCTACAGAGATGAGTGCGTTGCTACACAGAGGATGAGTGCGTTGCTACACAGAGGATGAGTGCGTTGCTACACAGAGGATGAGTGCGTTGCTACACAGAGGATGAGTGCGTTGCTACACAGAGGATGAGTGCGTTGCTACACAGAGGATGAGTGCGTTGCTACACAGAGGATGAGTGCGTTGCTACACAGAGGATGAGAGCGTTGCTACACAGAGGATGAGTGCGTTGCTACACAGAGGATGAGTGCGTTGCTACACAGAGGATGAGTGCGTTGCTACACAGAGGATGAGTGCGTTGCTACACAGAGGATGAGTGCGTTGCTACACAGAGGATGAGTGCGTTGCTACACAGAGGATGAGTGCGTTGCTACACAGAGGATGAGTGCGTTGCTACACAGAGGATGAGTGCGTTGCTACACAGAGGATGAGTGCGTTGCTACACAGAGGATGAGTGCGTTGCTACACAGAGGATGAGTGCTGGGAGAAAGGATGCTAAGACCACGCACGCCCTCTCAGTTGCTGCTATTCTCTCTCCCCCTCTCCCCCTTCTCCCCCCCCTCTCTTTACTCCCAGCCAGCCATCTGAATTCTCAAAAACGCAATCTGAACCCTGCAGCTACCAACACAGCCTCTCACTTCCCAACTGCATCGGTCGAAAGAGGATCAGCACTTCAAGGGCGGAAGCGCAGAGCAGCTCACCTAAGGTATAACAGACATGGCAGTGCGTGAAAAGAGGAGAGGGACACATGGGCTGCAGGGATATACGCACACCCTCCCACGTCTGCTGCCAGTGCGACCCTGACTTGCCTCAAATGCTGTTCCCAGATCTCTGAAATACACCTTCTTAGCTCTCGCTACCAACACAACCTTTCAGCTCCTCCCACTACCAGCACAACCTCTCAGCTCTCACCTGCGTTGGCAGTGCAGAGCAGCAGCAGCATGGCAAGACCAGCAGAGCAAAGCAGGGAGCCGATGGCGTGGGAGGCATAGTAGCTCGGGAAGGGAGGGGCAAAGGAGGTGCAAGGAGAAGCACGGATCCCTTTAGCTCTCACCTGCGTTGGCAGTGCAGAGAGCAGCAGCATGGCAAGGCCAGCAGTGCAGAGCAGCGCGCCGATGGCGTGGGAGGCGTGGTAGGGCATAAAGGAAGGGACAGAATGGGTGCTACAATAGAAAGGACGGTCTCCTTGGTTCTCACCTGCATCCAAGAGCAAGAGCATGGCGAGGCCGGTAGTGCAGAACAGCGCGCCGATGGCATGGTAGCGTGTGGAGAGGCAGAAGGGGTCTAGGATAAGAAGGAAAAGTCTATGAGCTCTCACCGGCGTCAGACAGCAGCAGCATGGCGAGGCCCGCCGTGCAGAGCAGCGCGCCGATAACATGGGAGGCGTGGTAGCGCGTGGAGAGGCAGAGCGCTGCTAGCAGCATAGCGGCTGGGATGGCCCAGCAGTCCAGGAGAGTGACTCGCGTCAATGAGGTGAAACGGAAGGCGAGGACAACTGGATAGGGAGGGGTGGAGAGTGGTGGGGTGAGGGGCAGCGTGGGGAGGGAAGGAATGAGATGAGAGGCAGCAAGGGGCAATGAGAGAAGGATGGCCCAGCAGTCCAGCAGGGAGACATACTTTCAAGGAGGTGAAACGGAAGGCGAGCAATACTGACTGGGACAAAGTGGAAAGAGGGAGAGGAATGAGAGACAGCATCGGGATGGAAGGAAAGAGACGAGAGGCAGCAAGGGTGAATCAGGTGGGCACCCCAGAAAGCAGTGAAGGAGAGCAACTCGAGTGAAGGAGGTGAAGGGGAATGGGTGGACACTGAAGGACAACTGAAGCGAAAGGAAAGGGTAAGATGAGACGATGCAAGTAAAATGAGACGAATGAGATGATGAGAGGGAGATGAGAGAGCGATGAGAGGGAGATGAAAGGGAGATGAGAGGGAGATGAGAGAGCGATGAGAGGGAGATGAAAGGGAGATGAGAGGGAGATGAGAGAGCGATGAGAGGGAGATGAAAGGGAGATGAGAGGGAGATGAGAGGGAGATGAGAGGGAGATGAGAGGGAGATGAGAGGGATCAACGACCAATTAGATGAGCACACGGCGGGCACAACGCGGGCACACGGCAGGCACGATAAGAGTACAAGACACGCACTCACCAAAGTAATTCCCTTCGACGTCGAGGAAAGACGCGAGCAGGAGCACACGCCACGGCACCTGAAATGGCGTGTGGCGGGAAGGAGGGCACAGATTCAAGGCAGATGGAAAGGCGATTTGAGGGAGCCGTTGACTTGTAACTTTAGTCAAACAATCAGAAGATAGTTTGCGTGAACAGTTACGACGGCAATCCGGAGCAAGCCTTGAAATGATTGTCGCCCAAGAATCTCATCCAGAGGCATGGCTCAAGAGATTTCTGATGCGCCTTTTGAGTCGACTCAAAAGCCATCTCGTCCAGAGACATGGCTCAAGAGATTTCTCATGCGCCTTAGAAATCAATCACAAAGATAACCCAGGATCAATAATTGGCAAAAGGCTCGTCAGGAGCGCTGGAAGCAGATGGAGCCAATAATGAGGACAAGTGAAAAGAAGCGTGGTGATAGAAGTGTGGTGATAGAAGTGCCGTGCGCAAGGCGCCATAATGAGCTGTACCGTACGTATAGGTAGGGAGGCGTGGTAACAGCTAGAGTTGTGCTTTGAGTAAACAAAAAGGCCTTACAGTGAGGGGTGTCTTGCGGTGTAGCAGCACGGCGCCATACACAGCAGCAAGCAGCACGTAGTTGAGCAGCGATTGGGTCGTGGGGATGCTCACTCCTGCCACGTGGCAACCATCCGAACCACCAATCAGAGACAATCAGGGTGCTACCAATAACACGTTTCACAAGTGTGATGAGCCGGCACAAGCTGAAGAATCATACATCTCCGCGAATCGCACACCTCCACGTGGCATCGTTTTGCACCTCTGGCGGCCAGCAGCGCGGAACACGTGGCGGTGACGGTGAGCAGAAGTGACATGAGCTGCCCGAGAGCCAGGGCTTTAAGGCCGTCCCGCGAGTACACCCACCGCCACTCGTCCCACGCGCACAGCCCTCCAGACCCTGCAACGATCCCTGTTGTGGACCCTGTAGCGTACTCGGTAGTAGTGGTCCCTATACTAGTCCCTGTATCAGTCCCTGTAGTACTCCCTGTAAGGGATCCAGTAGTCTGTCCTATGGCTGTGACGGAATCCCGACCTATCCACACTGGTAACCATGAACATGACCATCGCCCTGGCTGCTCCCCCTTCGTGAAAGCTTCCTGAGAGTCCACGTCATCGAGAACAACGACCGTTCCGTGACCAGGACATGCGCTGCGTTCTCTGGACGGCTGTGCCACGTGGCAGGCAATCGTCGATCCCGTGGTACAGTCGTCGCTGACGGTGGCGGTGGTTTCTGATCGTCGATCCCAAGGTTCGAGTAACGCTTCGACGATCGGGGTACGTGCAAGGTCGCAACAATCTCGCGAAGAGCGACGGACATGGTCTGGGGATTGCCGAGAGGATACCGGAGAGCGGATGAGGGGTGAGCATTCGTGATGCAATCCATCGTCTTCCATGGGGAAGGGCTGCACGAGGCGAGATTGAAGATGCAATGCCGTGCCACAGGGAAAATTCCACTCAAATACCTTGCGAAGGGTTCTGACGAAGCGCAGCGTGACAGGACTAATCTCCTCCCTTACAGCAAAGACTCGTCAGTCAGTGAATTCGCTAGAATGAATAGGAAGGAATCCAGGGAGGGTTGGCCCATACATGGGAAGCGACACCAATTTCTCATACACAACGATCTTAATAAAAATAAGTGTTTTTATACGAATGAGAGTTCTTACTGAACCTATAGATGTACAATCTGAAATATAATAACATATCTGATAGGAGATCGCCTGAAAAGATAGTGCTACGAAACGGAGCATTCCTGAATTATGAGCTATATTTACCAGCACTTTTGTGGTCACTTGAGGTGTACTACCGGTAACTTGTAAAGTTTGAGAACTTGCTACAAAATGTATCAGTCCGACTCCTGGACTGTGCCCGTGCTTTGGGATGTCTGCCTGCACAACCTAGCTATAGTTCGTCTCGTCCCGACTGTCTCTAGGTTCTCTCGGTATTCTCTTTCAGTCTCCTTACCAGCTTTCTTGCCTTGACGAGTTTAATCCCTTCAGTTTTAACACCATGCAGACGCTTTCTTGACACCTAACTGGACGCGAATCGTTTTGTCTGACATCGCGATCAAATTAGCCAAACCGAAAGCTTGTTACAATCCTGCGGATTCCACCATGCTCTCCGGGTTTTCGGGGCAGGTTTCTCGACTGGAAGGGTCAGAAGATTCGCTCAAAGGATCAAATCCTGGTGAAGGAGATGACGGTGGGGGAGGGGGCCTACAGAAAGGCGGGTTGCAGAGAGGAGGGTTGCAGCCGGCTGGCGGGCTGGGAGGAGAGCGATTACTCTTTAAAGCCCCGGCCGAGCGAAAATCTGTTTTGGGTGAGGGGCGCGTCGTTCGTTGTCTAAGCTGTGTAGCGGTTTCTAGGTCTGAGATGGGATGCGATGGGTCGGGGGTTGAGTTGCGTGATATGTACTTGTAAAGCGCGATGTAGGTCCCGTATTTTTCTAAGGTAATTCGCCTCCCCCCCTCCTCCTCCCTCTCACCACACCCACCCCACTGCCCCCACCTTCGTCGGCAATCCCCAGGTCTGGACGCGCTCGCCCGAGCCAAGCGAGCAGCCGCGGGAATCCCTGAGAAGCCGCCGGTTACTGTAGCAGCGGCCAGATTCGCGGAAGAGGGGGAAGATGAAGGGGAAAAGTTGACGGTTGAGGGGAAGGAAGGGGGAGGCGGGAAGTGGGTAGCGGACGTAGACGATGGGGGAGGGGGGAGAGGGGATGGAGAGGGAGTGGGAGGAGGGAGTGTGGGGGAGAAGAGCGGTGGAGGAGGGAGCAAGGAGAGGCGGCGGTATCGTTCTGCGCGGAGTGATGATACGCCCACACACGTGTCAACGATTACAGGTGAGTCACAGTGTCATACGACCTGCCACCTAGACGATCCATGCCACCTCACTGATCCTCATGCCACCTGGCAGATCCTCATCCCACGTGGCCGATTCTCATATTCCAACTAAGTATTCACCATCCAACCCATCCTCATGGCATCTGACCAGTTCTTCGTTAACACCCATGCCTTTCGCCCACCCAACCCAACCACGTGTCCTTCCCCTTGCCAGAACTATCAGGCGCGTCGCCCCGGGTGCAGGAGTCACCTCGTCGGGCCTCCTCACATGCGGACAAAGACACGCGAGGGGACACAGGTGCTGGGACATCCGAGGTAGGTTCATTCACACACAGCCTGGTTGAGGGACGGTTGCCTGCTCTGCGCACGACGATTCATGTGTGTGTGTGGGTGAATCATTTTGGCCGAGTGCATTCTCAAGTTCAAAAGGACTCACACTCACACACGTACATGGATCAGAATTTTGGCTGCGTGTGTATGTGAGAGGAATATGATTTCAACCAGCGCCCCTCTCCCACTCCCTCTCTCCCTCCCTCCTTCCTTCCCTCTTTCCCTTCTTCCCTTCCCCCTCCTCCCCCCTCCTCCCCCCGCCTTCCCCCCCCACCCACCACATCGTTTTCTTGATGCAGGGAGACGAGGCAAGCCGAGGCGCCAAAAGAACCCGAGTGGAGCCTGCTGACGTGGCAAATGGTGCTGCTGACAGGGCAGGCTCCGCTAGTTTGGTGACTAATGGAGGAGGTGAGGGGCGTCAGTCAGTCAGTCAGAGCAGGAGGTTGTCTAGTCCAGAATGTTGATGAGCCTTACTGACTTGTCAAGTGCTTGAAACGTGGTTGCACATGAAAAGCATTTATACTGCTCAAGTCTGGTGGTCCGACTCTCTTTGTCCTCCTCCCTGTGCATCAGTGAGTTGATTTTTGAGGCGCCTCAAAAATCAACAGACAATAATGTTATCCGATAACAGCATCAGTGCTTGTTTGTTGTCCAGCCACCTCAAATGAGTTCCGTCTTGAGGGTTTCGTGTTCCCTTCCGGTCCTGCTTCGTTTCGCCCCCTCACCGTGTTCCGTTCTCTTCACCCCTCTGCTGCTCTCTGTGCTTGCTTACGCCTTGTTGATTCCAAGCGACAGATGTGGGGAGCAGGGGAGACGCGGATGGGAGGAGAGGGGATGGGGAGAGAGGGGAAGGGAGAAGGGGGGGCCGTTGGGACTCAAGAGACAGCAACAGGAGAGAGAGGGGCAGGGAGGGGGATAGGGAGAGGGAGAGTGAGAGAGACAGGGAGAGAAGGGGAGGGGAGCGGGGCAACGATCGAGGCCGGGACAGGGACTACGACAGGGGCTCATATGGCCACGGTGAGTGCGCGGGGCTTGTGTGTGTGAGAAGGGGAAAAGGAAACAACTTTCTATATTGGACAGCGGTGTTGGACCTAACCTTTGTACATGCGTTAAGGGTTCCCAATACTGTCTCGAACTGATAGATCGTCACATGCTGCTTTGTCAACTACAGCCAAAACCTCCTAATTGAACAAATCCGACCCCCCACCCCCCCCCCCCCTCGCCCCCCTCCCCTCCTTCCTCCGTTGCTTGGAGAACTCTTTCTGCGTTCTTCCCTCTCGTGCCATCAGGCTCCTCCAGATCACGCTGGGATGACAGCACCCCGCGCAGAGACACTGACAGCACCCCTTCCAGGGAGGGCAGGGAGAGAGACAGAGACAAGGAGAGGGACAGAGAAAGGGACGGAGACAGAGGCAGCACGCCCCGCAACAGGGGGTCCAAGTGGGACATGCCCTCGCCGTCGCCCTCCCCCCGCTGGACCCCTTCCCCCGCCCCCTCTCCTGCGCCGTACCGCCGCGAGCCGTCCTTTGTGCCGCCCTCGCCGTCTGACTCGCGCCTGCTGTCGCCGTGGGATGGCGGAGGAGGCAGCACACCTTCTGTTGGTGGTGAGTGTTCTGTTCTCAGCCAACCCTTCTCCTTCCTCACCCATACAACCCCTTTGTCCCTTCTTCCATTTACATCCCCAACCAATATTTATCAACCTGGATTTTTCATCCTGGATTCCTGACCTGATTCTTTACTACTGATTTTTCCTATTTCCCTTTCCTCCAGGTTCAGTGTGGGATCTCCCGTCCCCCTCTCCCGTACCTGTGAGGGCAGGCTCGGCCACGCCTGTCTCGCAGGGTCGGGACGGGGAGGAGAGGGAGGGAAGCGTGCAAGCAGAGGGGGGAAGGGCTCGGCGGTCGCACAAGCTTCGGTTCCGAGCGGACTCGTCAGCTTCGGAGGGCGGTGCGAGCACACGCCGAAGCACAGCAGGAGGCCAGGTGGGTCAAAGAGTATTAGAGTGGGTGTTTGGAAGGGGTTGTTATGCTATATTGAGTGCTCTTTGGAAGGGGTTGTTATGCTATATTGAGTGCTCTTTGGAAGGGGTTGTTAACTTGTTATGCTATATTGAGTGCTGTTTGGAAGGGGTTGTTATGCTATATTGAGTGCTGTTTGGAAGGGGTTGTTATGCTATATTGAGTGCTGTTTGGAAGGGGTTGTTATGCTATATTGAGTGCTCTTTGGAAGGGGTTGTTAACTTGTTATGCTATATTGAGTGCTGTTTGGAAGGGGTTGTTATGCTATATTGAGTGCTGTTTGGAAGGGGTTGTTATGCTATATTGAGTGCTGTTTGGAAGGGGTTGTTATGCTATATTGAGTGCTGTTTGGAAGGGGTTGTTATGCTATATTGAGTGCTGTTTGGAAGGGGTTGTTATGCTATATTGAGTGCTGTTTGGAAGGGATTGTTATGCTATATTGAGTGCTGTTTGGAAGGGGTTACAGAAGCACTGTGGGAGGAGGCCAGGTGGGGTTCAGGTTCACGGAGCTGATCAGCCGCTCCTCTTCTGGCCAGGTGGCTCGTTAGTGGCCAGGTGGCACGTTAGTGGCCAGGTGGCACGTTAGTTAGTGGCCAGGTGGGGAGGAGTGTTTCCCTTGTGTCTCCCACTCCTCTTCTGCACATTAGTCCGCCCTTGTCCTGTTCCACTCCACTTGTGCCCCTCTCCCCTTGCACGCTCCCAGGCGCCATCCCAGCAGCGGGAGAGGATATCTGAGACGTCTCAAACACCGCCTGTCCCTCTTTCCTTTGCCCCTCTCCCCTTGCACGCTCCTGCATGCCCCCAGGCGCCATCGCAGCAGGAGAGCGAGTGGGACACGGATTACCGTGCTGACAGGGAGGCGGGGGAGGGAGGGGGGGCAGGCGCGGAGGAGGATGAGGGCCTGCGCCGGGAGATGGAGGAGGCGGAGAGGCAGGCCGACCGCTCCTGGTGAGTCTGGTCTCTGGGTTTGGTTGGGGTTGAGAGAGTATGAAAAGAAGAAAACAGTTGGCACGGTCGAAACAGGAGTGCATGGGAGGGGCGGTAGGAGGACGAGGTGCGTGATGAGGGGTGCATGCATGGTGCGTTCTGCAGTCTGACTGACAGTGACAGGTCAACTGTGTCTCACTCTCTTGTAATCCCATACGCTTTCTCACCCGCCCGCCCTCGCAGGTACGACTCAGAGGAAGCAGGCAGGCAGCGTGTTTGTTTGACTCGGGCGAGGGCAGGCACCAACCCGCTCGGAGGGTCCACGTGTAAAAAGAGAGGTTTTGAGATGTCGCTCGGAGGGTCCACGTGTAAAAAGAGAGGTTTTGAGACGTCTCAAAACCACTCTTTTTACAGCAGGCAGCGTGTTTGTTTGATTTGGGCGAGGGCAGGCACCAATTCGTTCGGAGGGTTCAGAGATGAGCAAGCCTTCGAGAAGGGGGAGGAAGGCAAGAAGGAAGCGGCGGCAAGGCAGCAACGGCGCATGGTGCGGGGGGACGGGTCGGCCATGTCTCATCCTCTTTCCCCCTCCTTTCCTTCCACCCTCCCTCCCTTAATTCCTTCCACCCTCCCCACCCCCTTCCCCTCCCAGGTACGACTCAGAGGAGGCGGGCAGTGTGTTTGACTCGGGCGAGGGCTCTAACCCGTTTGGGGGATTCGGCGACGAGCAAGCGGAGGAGCGCAAGAAGGAAGCAGCGGCGAGGCAGCAGCGCATGGTGCGGTCAGACGGGTCGGCTATGTCTCTGGCGGCCAGCAAGCGCCTCACCTAACTGTCGGCCATCTTTCCCTTACTTTCTTCCTCCCTCCCTTCCTCCACCCTCCCTCCCTTGATCCCGTCCGCCATACTCCTTCCTACACACCCGCCTCCCAGGTACGACTCGGAGGAGGCTGGAAGTGTTTTCGACTCCGGAGAGGGAAGCAACCCGTTTGGGGGATTCGGCGACGAGCAAGCGTTTGAGAAGAAGGAGGAGCGCAAGAAGGAAGCAGCGGCGAGGCAGCAGCGCATGGTGCGGTCAGACGGGTCGGCCATGTCTCTGGCGGCCAGCAAGCGCCTCACCCAGCTGTCGGCGGACCAGGCGTCGTGGGAGGACCGGCAGCTCATGCGGTCGGGAGTGGTGCGCAACGCTACAGAGCTCTCCACGGACATTGACGACGAGGATGAGAACCGCGTGCTGCTGCTCGTGCACGGTGAGCCTCTTGAGTCGTCCAAGTAAGGTGGCTGTCGATTCAACGTTAAAGCCGCAATGCCTCAGAACTCTCCACACTTTTGAGGCGCCTCAAAATTCCTCTCCACACGGATGTTTATGACGAGGATGAACACTTCTGAGGTGCCTCCAAATTTTTGAGGACTTTTTAGGAGCCTTAAAAGTCAAAAGTCGAATAAAAAGACTTCTGAGGCGCCTCAAAAGTCCTCTCCACATGGATATTGATGACGAGGATGAGCACCGCATGCTGCTGCTGCTGCTGCTGCTTGTGCATGGTGGGTGGGTGTCCCCGCTCCTCCTTGGTGTGACTGAGCTGGGAGCATGGAAAAGAGAGTGTGCCCAAATTTGTTCCCGCCTTCACCACACATGTTGTGGAGTGCCCTTGGACATGCTGTGCAGCGTATGTGCCCTGCGTACGGGAAAAAGCACGAAGCATGTACTATTTTTGCACCCAGTGTATTATAACCCGCTGCCTCTCCATTCTCTAGGCACCTCAAAAATAGTTCTCCCGTACAACCCGCTGCCCGTCCCTTTCCCATCTGTGCATGAGCAGACACGAAGCCACCGTTCCTGGACGGGCGAATCGTGTTCACGAAGCAGCAGGAGCCGGTGATGCCGCTGAAGGACCCCACGTCCGACATGGCCATCATCGCCCGCAAGGGCTCAGCGCTAGTCAGAGAGGTGTGTGTGTGGTTGGTAACAGGTGGGTATGAGCAGTGAGAGTAACGGTTAGTCAGTGGTGTGCTGTGCTGGTCAAGGTGAGGAGCCGGTGTGATGCCTTTCAAGGACCCCACGTCTGACATGGCCATCATCGCCCGCTAGGGCTCTGCTCTTGTCAGAGAGGTACGTTGGTGTTGGGTTCAGGGTGATGCTGTACTGATGGGAACAGTCACGGGTGGCTGGTGAAGGTAAGTAGTAGCCGGTGATGCCTCTCAACTCAAGGTTCCCACCTCTGACATGGCCATCATCACTTGCAAGGGCTCTGCTGTCATTAGAGAGGTGTATGCGGGGTGAAGTCAGAGAGGGGGTGTGGGTGGTAAGGATCAGGTACCAGGGGGGTGTGGTGTGCTGGTTATTTATTGCTAGAGACACCACACACATATCCAGAGTCGGTGATGCGTTTCAAGGACCCCACGGCTGACATGGCCATCATCACTCGCGAGGGCTCTGCTCTCATTAGAGAGGTGCGTGGGTGGGTGGTGAAGTCAGCGAGGGGCCTGAGGGTTGTGTGTTCACTTGTGCCATACTCTTTTTTACCTGCTATGGATGTCCGTGGAGTTTTACCTGCGATGTCCGTGGCGTGGTGTTTGCTGGGCTCTTCAACTCAGTGCACGGAGTTGTCTTCAGATGTCCCTCTTTCCTGTTTCTCACCCACCATCCATTTTCCTGTCGTCCTGTCCTGCCTGCCCTCTTGTGCCCCCCACAGATTCGGGAGAAGCAGCAGCAGAACAAGAGCAGGCAGAAGTTCTGGGAACTTGCAGGAAGCAAGCTGGGGAACATTCTCGGCGCCAAGAAATCTGCCGCTGATGTGAGTGTCATATCATAGGCATTGAGAGCATGCATGGGCATGTGGGGATGTGGGAACGCGTGTGGGTGGGTGGACACCAGTGGAGTGTGTCAGTGGTGCTGCAAGCACGTGGCACGCATGTGGCATGCGCATGCCACCTGCGACACGCTACACATCACACATCATGCCACATGTGGTATGCCACATCAGATCATGCCACATGCGGTGTGCCACATCAGATCATGCCACATGCAACATGCCACATGCACGCACGCACACACACGCCACATGCCAGAGCCTCACTTTCACTATTCTTTCTATGAAATGATCCCAAACCCCTAATGCCGCCCTTCCCACCAGGTGAATGCGGATACAGCCAAGGTGGACGAGGAGAGCAAGGTGGACCATAAGGACAACGGGGATTTGGCAAACAGAGCCTTCAGCCCCTGAACCTATTTTTGAGGAGCCTCAAAAATCGAGCAGAGCAAGGTCGACCATAAGGACAATGGGGATTTGGCAAACTGAGCCTTCAGGCCCTGAACCTTCAACCTTCCAAACAATCCAATCCCCCATGCTGCTCCCACCACCAGGTGGACGCGGAAGGTGAGGTGGACTATAAGGACAATGTGAAGTATGCAGCTGAATCCATAAACCCCCGAACCCCCAACCTGAAATGATCCCACCAGGTGGATGCGGATACAGCCAAGGTGGACGTGGAGGGAGAGGTGGACTATAAGGACAATGTGAAGTTCGCCGACCACATGAAGAGCACGGGCGGCGCTGCCAGTGACTTTGCCAAGAACAAGTCGATAGCCGAGCAGCGCATGTACCTGCCCATCTACTCCGTCCGCGACGAGCTGCTGCAGGTGAGAATCACCACTGAGTTTACGCTGCTGTGCGTGAGTAGCTCTCAACACAAAGCACAGGGCGCTGCCAGTGACTTTGCCAAGAACAAGTCGATGGCAGAGCAGCGCATGTACCTGCCCATCTACTCCGTCCGGGACGAGCTGCTGCAGGTGAGTCACCACTAGGATGGAGATGAATACAGTGCATGCACCTGCCCCCAGCTATTCCACGAGTGAGGGACGAGCTCGCGCAGGTGAGAAGCCTTTGAGAAGTAGAGACGTCTCACAACATCCAATATGTTGTGAGGTAGTCTCACAACATCCAATATGTTGTGAGGTAGTCTCACAACATCCAATATGTTGTGAGGTAGCCTCACAACATATTGGCCCTCTTTAATTCCATCGCGGAGCAGTGCGACTACCTCCCCATTTATTCTGCCAGGGACGAGCTGCTGCAGGTGGGACTAGGTTTGAGTTTAGACGTCTGACAAGGGATGTATGTACCTGCATGGGATGAGATGAGAGATGTCTCAGATATCCTCAGAGGGATTAGAACGTGCAGACGGGTGCTTCGCTCGAGTGTATGTGCCCCTTAACGTCCAGGAACAGCTGCGCGTGTGTGTACCTACCTCTGGTCCAGTCAGTCTGCAAAAAGCATGCCGGTGTGCCTTTCTCATGCATCTGTGCCACTCATCCCGGCGTCCCTCATGCCTTCATGCCTCGCTTTGCCCATTGTGTGGCGTGTCTCACCACCGCAGGTGATTCGCGAGAACCAAATTGTGGTGGTGGTGGGCGAGACAGGCTCCGGCAAAACAACACAGATGACGCAGGTGAGTGAGTGTTGGGGACGTGGCACAAGATGAGTATATGAGTTGCCTCAAAAGTCACCAGATTGTGGTGGTGGTGGGCGAGACAGGCTCTGGCAAAACAACACAGATGACACAGGTGAGGGTTGGGATGGACGTGACACAACTCAAATGACCCAGGTGAGCAACCCAGTGTGACTCAGAACTAGTGTGAGGACATGGTTGGGTGGTGTGGTGCTCTCGCCCTTACTGTATCCTTTTCTATGGCAGTTTTATGTGTTACTCTAACAAAAAAAGGATCAAGCACCTATCCAAACACTCTGTTTTTCATTTGTCCCCGTTAGTAGCTGAATCGTTTGTTTTTGTACCCATGTGAGTGAGCTGCTCGCGGTACATGCGCAGGAGGACGGTCACACCATGTGTGGCATGGTGGGATGCATGCAGTGCAGCCCATTCAAAACCGATTCACGTTTGTTTCCAAACCCTCTCCCACCTACAAGTACCTGCACGAGGACGGCTTCACCACGTATGGCATGGTGGGGTGCACGCAGCCGCGCACAATGAATTGCATGTTTGTCTTAACAGCTTAATCCGTAACCCCTATCCCCGTACCTACTGGCCCACCAGTACCTGCACGAGGATGGCTACACCACATACGGCATGGTGGGGTGCACACAGCCGCGGCGCGTGGCAGCGATGAGTGTGGCCAAGCGCGTGGCGGATGAGATGGAGTGCGAGCTGGGGTCCACTGTGGGCTATGCCATACGCTTCGAGGACGTCACAAGCAGCAACACTCTTGTGAAGGTGGGTGGTGGTGTGTGTGGAATGGAAAGGGGGGAGTGGATGGCGGATGAGATGGAGTGCGAGGTGGGGTCCACCGTGGGCTATGCCATTCGCGTTGAAGACGTCAGCAGCAGCAACACTCTCGTGAAGGTGAGTGGAGCATAGTAGGGGCGAGGTGATGTAAGGCAGTGTGGAATGGGAAGGGGGAGAGGGAGGGAATGAGATGGAGTGCGAGGTGGGGTCCACCGTGGGCTATGCCATTCGCGTTGAAGATGTCACCAGCAGCAAATCTCTTGTGCAGGGGGGTTGAGATGGGTTGTAAGGGGGATGTAAGGGTGGTCCTGCTATGCCACCTGTAAAAGGCCACCACCATGCTGCAATGCGATGCTGCCGATGATGATGATTCTTACATTGGGTCACTCAGAAACGGGTCGACACAGGTAACTCAGTGATGCAAGGTGATAAAAAGTGTTGTTTTGAGACGTCTCAGAACAACACTTTTATCACTCAGAAACGGGTCGACACACACAGGTAACTCAGTGATGCAAGGCGACTTCTGGGTTGATCCAGAAATGAGGCTCGATCTTTGGTACTGCCTGCCAGTGATGACCATATGATTTCTCGATGACGAGGCACCAGCACGGACTAAACACTTACGCACTCTCGCTCCGAGGTGCTGTGTGGTGCTGCGCAGCCAATGAGATGAGAAATTTGTGCGTGTCTGAGGCGCTGTGTGGTGCGGGTACTGTGTGGTGCTGTGTGGTACTGTGTGGTGCTGTGTGGTGCTAAACGATCTGGTGGACTTTGTAGCAGCTGGTCGTCCCGTGCCTCTCTGCTCACACTCTCTTCTCACCCCCCTCTTTTCCACCAACATCAGTACATGACGGAGGGAGTGCTGCTGAGGGAGTCGCTCAGAGAGCCGGACCTCGACCAGTACAGGTGTGTGCCCCGCCCGCTCCCTCTTCCTCTACCTCTACCTCTACCTCTACCTCTACCTCTACCTCTACCTCTGCCTCTGCCTCTGCCTCTGCCTCTACCTCTGCCTCTGCCTCTGCCTCTGCCTCTACCTCTACCTCTACCTCTACCTCTGCCTCTGCCTCTGCCTCTGCCTCTACCTCTACCTCTGCCTCTACCTCTGCCTCTACCTCTGCCTCTACCTCTACCTCTGCCTCTACCTCTGCCTTTACCTCTACCTCTGCCTCTACCTCTGCCTCTACCTCTACCTCTGCCTCTGCCTCTACCTCTGTCTCTACCTCTGCCTCTACCTCTACCTCTTCCTCTCCCTCTGCCTCTGCCTCTGCCTCTGCCTCTCCCTCTGCCTCTGCCTCTGCCTCTGCCTCTGCCTCTGCCTCTGCCTGACCTATACAGGTGTATGCCATGCTCTTGCCATGCCTTTGCCTTTGCGCCTATACTGGGTAGGTGGTGCATGTCGTCTCTCTGTGTGCCATCGTGTCCGATCAATCAGGGCCTCTGAGCGTTTTGTAACCACAAACTGTCCTGAACTGCCTCCCCCCGTTCCTCCAACGCTCTCGTTCCCTCTCCCCCCTCACCCACAGTGCCATCATAATGGACGAGGCACACGAGCGCTCATTGAACACGGACGTGCTGTTCGGGGTGCTCAAGCACGTGGCGGCGAGACGAAGGGACTTCAAGCTCATCGTCACGTCCGCCACGCTCAATGCTGAGAAGTTCTCCCACTTCTTCGGCAGGTGAGGGGTGCTGGGGCAGGTGAGGGGTGCTGGGGCAGGTGAGGGGTGCTGGGGCAGGTGAGGGGTGCTGCGACTAGTAGGGCATCCATTCAGTGTCTTGCTTGCAGCGATCCCTCAGTACCTGAGAGCGCACTGCTTGTGGGTTTCCCTGCCTGTTGTTGTGTGCAGTGCAAGTGCATGGTTTCTGCGTTCCTTAATAGGTGACATGCGTTCCTTTTTTAGTCGACTCATGGGTCCCCTCTATGAAACCACTATAGACCATCCTCACACCATTCCACTCCTCCCTCCCTCTACCTTCCTCCCCGCTGCAACTCCCGTCTTCTTTTCCCCCAGTGTCCCAGTCTTCTTCATCCCAGGGCGCACCTTCCCCGTCAGTCTCATGTGAAGCAAGCCCCTCTCTCATCCTTAACCCCTCACTTCCTTCCCCCATCTCCTCTACCTTCCTTTCTTGCAGCGTACCGGTCTTCTTCATCCCAGGGCGCACCTTCCCAGTGAGCATCATGTGGAGCAAGTCGCCTTGTGAGGACCCTGTAGACGCGGCAGTCAAGCAAGCGCTAGCCATCCACGTCACCATGCCACCTGGCGACATCCTCATCTTCATGACCGGCCAAGAAGACATCGAGGCAACCTGTTTCTCCCTCGCCGACCGCCTCGAGCAAATGGCGGCCGGCGCCGCCCGCCCCCCGCCGCCCCTCTCCATCCTCCCAATCTACTCCCAGCTGCCGGCCGATCTCCAAGCGAAGATTTTCCAGAAGGCCGAGGAAGGTACCAGGAAATGCATCGTTGCGACGAACATCGCCGAGACGTCGCTGACCGTTGATGGGATTCTGTACGTGATCGACGGTGGATACAGCAAGATCAAGGTCTACAACCCCCGCATGGGTATGGACGCGCTACAGGTCTTCCCCATCAGCCGAGCCGCGGCCGACCAGAGGTCCGGCCGAGCCGGACGGACAGGTCCGGGAACGTGCTACCGGCTGTACACAGAAACCGCCTACGCGAACGAGATGCTGGCAAATCCAGTCCCGGAGATCCAGCGCACGAACCTCGGGAATGTCGTGCTGCTGCTGAAATCCCTCAACATCGACAACCTCCTGGATTTTGACTTCCTTGACCCTCCTCCTCAGGAGAACATTCTGAACTCTATGTACCAGCTTTGGATCTTAGGAGCGCTGGACAATACCGGAGCACTGACCAAGACGGGGAGGCGGATGGTGGAATTTCCTTTAGACCCTGCTCTGGCGAAGCTGTTGATATCCGGGGATCAGTTTGGGTGTGTGAACGAGACGTTGACCATGGTGGCCATGCTCTCGGTGCCGTCGGTTTTCTTCCGCCCCAAGGACCGCGAAGAGGAGTCTGACGCTGCCCGGGAGAAGTTTTTCGTGCCCGAGAGCGACCACCTGACGCTCCTAAATGTCTTCCAGCAGTGGAAGTCCAACGGGTATCGCGGCGACTGGTGCTCCGACCACTACCTTCACGTGAAAGGCCTGAGGAAAGCCCGGGAGGTGCGAGCCCAACTAGCTGATATCCTCAAGCAGCAGAAGATTCCGCTGTCTAGCGCGGGGCAGGACTGGGATGTGGTGCGGCGGGCGATCTGCACGGCGTATTTCCACCACGCGGCGAAGCTGAAAGGCGTGGGGGAGTATGCCAGCTGCCGCACCGGCACTCCCTGTCACCTGCACCCCACGAGCGCGCTTTACGGGCTCGGAACGACCCCGGAGTATGTGGTTTACCATGAGTTGGTGCTCACTTCGAAGGAATACATGCAGTGTGTGACGGCTGTTGAGCCAAGATGGTTGGCGGAGGCCGGGCCGATGTTTTTCAGTGTGAAGGATAGTCATCAGAGCAGGCTGCAGCAGAAGCAGAAGCTGCGGGAGGAGGCGAGTGCGATGGAGCGGGAGATGGCGGAGGCGAGGCGGAAGATGGAGGTGGAGGAGGAGATGAGACGCAGGAAGGACGAGGAGCAGACTGTGAGGGAGGCGGAGCGGATTGTCATGCCGGGTGTGAAGAAGGGGAAAGGGGCGGCGAGACGTGCTCCTGGGCTTTAGTGTGCCTGCCCGTGGCTTAGATGTAGCGAGAGTGGGGGGGGGGGGGGGGGGGGGAGGAGGGGAGGGGAGGAGGGGGAGGTTGGGAACTTGGGGTGGTTTGGAGCTGGAGAGTTTGAGGGAAGGTGTGTGCTGCTGATTGGTGTTTGCGCTGGGAAGGAAGGGTTGATTTGTAAATGGTGCCTGTCTTCGTACCGTATTACACTACACTGTTCCAGGTTCCAAGTCAGTCAGTTGAAGCGTTTTGTTATTCCCGATATTGTATGCAATCTCGACGTTTCATGAATGCTAGTTTGGGAATGAATACGTTACTGCTGGTACATACAATGGTGAATTCTCTGAAGAGTTGCCTTGCCATGCAGACCAATTCGCAAATGTGAACTTTGAAGTGTTCATTTCGTGAAGGTAATGTTTTGAAAGTGGCCACCTCATTTGCTCACGTCGGTAATTTGTGCATTTTCGGGAGGAATCTCCTCCCATGCCTTTTAACTCAAGTAATCGCTATTTTGGCGCACAAAACCGGGTCACGAGGTCTGACAATAAGAAGGGCATATGCCACATATCATCCTCGATGTTGCCGCAACCCCACATGTTGGCAACCTCTTCGCCTTTCGCGCCGAACAAATCCGCACTCGCCATGTTCACCGGAGATCCCTATGCGTGGCCGTCGCGCCGCTCGCCCGTCCTCGCGACGCGCGGGATGGTCGCGTCGTCGCAGCCGCTCGCCAGCGAAGCCGGCCTCCGCATTCTGCGGGCCGGCGGCAACGCGGCGGACGCGGCGGTCGCCATGGCGGCGGCGCTTGCGGTGTGCGAACCGTGCAGCACCGGCCTAGGTGGGAATCACATCGACAATCTTCGATCAGGCGGCAACGCCTTTCCGATCTTCAGCCTCACCCCAATCTGCACCGTCCACACCGCCCACACTGTTCACTATCCCTTACGCGGCCCGTGACTGCAACTGGTGGCGCCTCTCCTCCTTTCTGCCGCCCCTCAACCCCCGCGGCACCCCCGCGCCTCAACCCCCGCGGTACATGCATCCCGCCCACGTCTTTCCTCCCGCTCACTCACTCTAATCTCCTTCACTCCCCATTCCCACCCTCCCTTCCCCCTTTCCCCTACCCACAAACCCCAGGCGGAGACGCCTTCCTCCTCTTCTACCGCGCATCAACGCGCACGGTCCACAGTATTCAGGGCAACGGCCGCTGCCCCGCCGCGCTCTCGCTCTCCCACCTCGCCACACTCGGTTTCTCCCCCGCGCACCCGCTTCCCCCCTTCCACCCCCTCACGGTCACCGTCCCCGGCGCCGCCGCCTGCTGGGCCGACGCCATCCAACGGTTCGGATCGCGCCACGTGTCGCTCCGCGAGGCGCTCGAGCCGGCCGTACAGCTGGCGGAAGGCGGTTGGCCCGTGCCGCCGCTGACAGCTGGACAGTGGGAGAGAGGCGTGGAGCAGGTCTGTGCGACGTGGGGCACGGACAGGATTGGCACCCTTTTGCTTCAGAGCATGGGATGATCAATGTTGAGACGTCTCAGAAGATAATTCATTATCAGCATGAAATTGGCATTTTTCTGTGCTGGACACCCTCTGATCCACGTGGCAGTTGAAGCAGGGAGGGCCACATGGCGGCGAGCTATTGGTGGACGGGGAGAGGGCGCCGAGGGCTGGCGAGGTGATGAGGAACCCGGGCATGGGCAACACACTGAGGCTGCTGGGAGGTGCGTTGACTGCTTGGAGGTGCGTTGACTGCTGGGAGGTGCGTTGACTGCTGGGAGGTGCGTTGACTGCTGGGAGGTGCGTTGACTTCTGGGAGGTGCGTTGACTTCTGGGATGTGCGTTGACTTCTGGGAGGTGCGTTGACTTCTGGGAGGTGCGTTGACTTCTGGGAGGTGCGTTGACTGCTGGGAGGTGCGTTGACTGCTGGGAGGTGCGTTGACTGCTGGAGTGTCAGTTTGCGCCTTGCGAGTAATGGCCAATGCCGTGCTTTCCGTTTTGGGACATACATTTCCTCCCCGGAATCATTCCTTGCATTCTTCAAAGGTCCCTCTCCCCCGTTCCTCCACCAGAGCAGGGCAAGGAGGGCTTCTACACAGGCCCGGTGGCGGAAGCAATAGTCACAGCAGTGCAGGCCCAGAGGGGACTGCTCTCTCTGCGTGACCTCTCGCTGCAGAGCCTCATACCGTACTTGATCCTTCTCTACGTTCCCTCTACCCCGTCCCCCCATCAGAGAAAGGCAAGGAGGGCTTCTACACAGGCCCAGTAGCCGAAGCGATAGTCACAGCAGTGCAGGCCCAGGGCGGGGTGCTCTCCCTGCAAGACCTGGCCTCCCACACCTCCTCCGTGGCCCCGCCCATCAGCACCACCTTCCACGGCCTCACCATCTGGGAGGTCCCTCCCCCCACCCACGGCCTGGCCGCTCTCATCGCTCTCAACATCACCGAGGCTTACTACTCCACGCACGGTGTTCCCGAGCCTGTCCAGGAGGCTCGGGGAGCGGGCCCCGAAGCTGCGGGCGAGGCTCGGGAGGGGTGGGTCAAGGGGGAGGCGGATTATGCGCATGTGATGATCGAGGCTATGCGGATGGGGTTTGCAGATGCGCTGGCGTGTGTGGCTGACCCAGAGCACGTGCAGGTGCCTCTGGGGGAGGCTTTATCTAAGGAGTATGCAGCCAAACGAGCTGGGGAGATAGATCTAACACGGGCAGCGATCGTTGAGCCAGGGATTGGGGCGTGGGGAGGAGTGGGGACTGATACGGTGTATTTCTGCGCGGTGGACGGGGAGGGCAACGCGTGCAGCATGATCAACTCAAACTACATGGGCTTTGGCACGGGAATTGTCCCCCAGGGGTGCGGCTTTCCTCTGCAGAACCGCGGGCATAACTTCTCCCTGGATCCCTCCCATCCCAACTGCCTGGCTCCTGGTAAGCGCCCCTACCACACCATCATTCCTGGTCTCGCCACGTGGGGGGTTACCCCCTCTCCCGCAGCAGCAACAGCAGCATCAGCGGCTTCATCGGCAGCAGGAGGAGCAGCAGCAGAGGGAGCAGCAGCAGCAGCAGCGGGAGCATCGGCAGCAGCAGCAGCAGGAGGAGAGAAAGCAGCAGAAGAGTCAAGAGCAGACGAAGGGGTACCAGCAGGGGACCTGCACTGCACGTTCGGGGTTATGGGCGGGTTCATGCAACCCCAAGGCCACCTACAGGTGGTAACCAGCCTCGCCCTGCTCTCCCTCAACCCCCAGTCCGCCCTCGACCGCCCCCGCTTCTGCCTCTCTGGCCTCCCCTCCCTCGACCCGCCTGGACACGGACCTGGGCCAGTAAGAGAGAGCCACGTGGCGATTGAGGAGGGGCTGGGAAGGGATGACGTGGCGGAGGAGTTGAGGAGGAGGGGGCATCAGGTGGAGGTGGTGAGGGGGGAGGCGAGGGAGGTGTTTGGGAAGGGGCAGGTGATTGTGAGGGAGAGGGGGAGTGGCGTGCTGTGGGGGGGGTCGGAGGGGCGAGCAGATGGCTGTGCCATGGGTTTCTGAACCAGGGGGAATGGGGACCGGAGGAGGATGTAGGCAAAGGATGGAGAGAGGGAACAGCCTGTGGGGCTCTAATGAGAATTCTCAAACATGAATTTAGACTGCAACGTGCTTTGTGTGGGAGCAGAAGGAAAGGAGAACATGCTAGTTAGGCATGGAGTTCAATTGAACTACTGTGTGCACCTCCCTTTTCCTTGGTATTGTGAGATTCACCGAAATGCTTGAGAAAGTAAAGTGACTGTACTCTGTTGTGTCAATCAATGCCGAGATGAAAGAATAAAAGAATAGACAAGACAACCTTAGTGTGCTAGGGTTTCCCATGTTACCCAGTCGGCTGCTCCCCTGTCCTGCTGCTCCTTCCATCTTGATTGCTGCCACCCACCCACTCATTCTTGTCGATCCTGCTGCCACCCATGAGAGCATTGCAAGACAATGATGACTCAGTGCAGCATCACCATTGTCTTCTGTGCCTCACTGGGAAAGGTGTCATCCTGCTGCCATGGCCACACTGCCATGCGACTAATACTCCTGCTTGTGAGACTAGACCTGCTTGTGAGAAGCACAGAAGACAATGACTTGGCGCAGCAGCTGTCGTGACTCGTCAGTGAGTGCTCCCACACTGTCATGGAACGCCTGCGGTACACCACGCCGCCATGAACGAATGGTGATATAAGGATCGAGAGGGAGAGCGTGAGGCCAATACTTTATCACAGCAAACACTTTGTTAGTGCACATCCTTATCACCACTCGTGATTTCTACAAGCTCTCTAATGGAACTGATTCGTAATAATAGGCTCACCATGAATTGCCGCAGAACAGGAGCCAGCGGGTGGAGGGAGGAGCCTGGCAGCTGGCGGCAGATGGAGTGACAGACAGCCTCGCTGCAGGGGGGAAGAGAGGAAGGAAGGCGGAGGGGACGGGGGGGGGGGGAAGGGAGAGGGAAGGGAGGGGAGAGGGGGTTTTGAAGAAAAGGTAGAGATCTGAGGCTGGCCAAACCGGACATAAAAATGCAGTGCAGCGCACGAAACAATGGCACTGAGCGGCCACTATGACGAGGGCGATTATAACGAGGAGGGCACTGTGGGATGTGACGTGATGTGAAAATGTGGAAGGTGGCTACAATGCTAGAGCCTCATACAGCTCGGTCGTGGCCTTGCTCACCTGCCCGGGTCTTGCTCACCTGCCCGGGCCTTGCTCACCTGCCCGGGCCTTGCTCACCTGCCCGGGCCTTGCTCACCTGCCCGGGCCTTGCTCACCTGCCCGGGCCTTGCTCACCTGCCCGGGCCTTGCTCACCTGCCCGGGCCTTGCTCACCTGCCCGGGCCTTGCTCACCTGCCCGGGCCTTGCTCACCTGCCCGGGCCTTGCTCATCTGCCCGGGCCTTGCTCACCTGCCCGGGCCTTGCTCACCTGCCCTGGCCTTGCTCGCCTGCCCTGGCCTTGCTCGCCTGCCCGGGCCTTGCTCATACATACATACATCTTCCATTCGAGTCACCTTGTAGAGACAACTCGGCCTTAGCCTTTGAGATAATTTTTAGAAATCTTGAAAAAATCTCTGAGACACCGCGGCCTTAGCCTGGTGAGTGTGTTTTTCTGGCTTCTCCAAAAGCTCTCTGCGAGGCGCATTGTAGACGTATTTTTCGAACCACAGCAACATGCCACACACACACCAGCACGCCACCACACCAAACACACACACCTGTGCTGCGCCAGCAATCCGAGCAGCAGAGCAGCATGTGACTCCATGATCAGCTGCTCCGCCTCCACTGCCCCCTCCACCATCATCGACATCACCATCTCGCCCGACCCCATCTCCTCCCCCATGGCCTTCCCCATCTCCTCCTTTCCAGTCCCCACACCTCCCATCGTTTCCCCCTGCAGCACCATCTCGCCCTGCCCCAGCACGCTCATCTGCAGCTCCTCCACCTCCCGCTCCGCCAGTCGCCTCTGCTCCGCCATTCCCATCTCTTCTGCACCCTCACTCCCTCTCACCACCGCCGTGCTCCTTTCCTCGTGGCTGGAGCGCTCCGAAATCTGACATTTGGCAGCGAAATCCTGCCTCTCCTTTTGCTGCTGCTGCTGCTGCTGCTGCTGCTGCTGCTGCTGCTGCTGCTGCTGCTGCTGCTGCTGCTGCTGCTGCTGCAGCTGCTGCTTCTTTTGCTGCTCGGAGCTTTTTTGGCGAGATGCAAAGATGGCGCACAGGAGGGACACCATCGACACGCTCTCCTCTGCCCTCCCTGCCTGCTCTTGCCCACGGCTCCCACTGCTGGTGGCACTGTGCTGCTGCATGCTGTCTCCATGGGCCTTGTGCTGCTGGGTGCTGTATTTGCTGTAGTCTCTGGCTCTGTGCTGCTTGGAGTGCAGCTGGCCCTGCTTTCGCCTCGTGCAAGTGGCTGCTGCCAGTAGGGATCTGCGGAACAGTTGTTGTGGGTGGGATGACGCACACAAACGGAACATATGCATAGAAGCACACACACAGGACAATCAGCAGCAGAAGCAGCCTACCCGGTGCCATGGCACCCTGAGCTTCCGTCAGATGGACCATGCAAACACAAGGACCACAGTACATGCACATGCACATGAACATGCACATGCATATGCACATGCACATGAACATGCACATGCACATGAACATGCACATGCATATGCACATGCACATGCACATGGGCAAGCACACGTATGTGCATGGTAGATGCATGCTTCCGCTGTTGTCACTTGTCAGTGTCAGCATCACCTCATCAAATGAAGCACCCATACCAGGCATCACTATCACCCTCCACAAGGCTAACACAACACCCACCAGCACCACCCGCACCGCACGGGCGCATGCACATATAGGGGCACTACACCCGTTTCTGGAATTGCACCAAGTGTGCTGAGTCGATTTTTGAGTCGACTCAAAAAGCGCATGCACATATAGGCGCACTACACCCGTTTCTGGAATTGCACCAAACCAGCATTCCCAGCCTCTGCCGTACCTGGCGTCACTATCAGCTTCCACGAGGTTGACCATCAAACCCAGAAGCACCACCAGCATGAGTGCATACACATATAGGGGCTTCACGCCCATCTCCGCTACTGCACCCAGCATTCTCAGCACCCTGAACTCATCACACAAATCTGCAGTATGCCATACCTGGCGTCACTATCAGCTTCCACTAGGTTGACAATCAGACCCAGCAGCACCACCAGGACAAGTGCACGCACACATAGGGGCAACATTACACCCTAAACCCTGAAAGTTTTTGCCATTGCACCCACCCAGCATTCTCAGCAACAACCATACCTGGCGTCACTATCAGCTTCCACCAGGTTGACGATCAGGCCCAGCAGCACCACCAACACGTCACCATCTCCCTCCCAACGCCCACCATCCCCGCCCAACATTTACAGCATAAACGCACCACATAAAGTACCCAGACATACCTGGCGTCACCATCAGCTTCCACCAGGTTGACTATCAGGCCCAGCAGCACCACCAGCACGTCACCATCTCCTTCCCAGTGCCCACCTTCCCCGCTCCCTGCACCCTCCCTTTCCCGTCCCTCACAAGTCCTTTCAGCTTTATCACACTCCCCCCTGTCATCCCCTCCCCCATTAATTGCCCCTTTCCCCCTCCCCTGCACTCCATCGTCCAACCCACATGCTCCAGCTGTCACTGCCTCAGTTCCCTCGGACCCATAGCCCGTGCGAACTGTCGAAGCTGCTGCTGAAGCTGCTGTTGAAGCTGCTGCCGAAGCTGCTGCCGAAGCTGCTGCCGAAGCTGCTGCCGAAGCTGCTGCCGGAGCTGCTGCCAGAGCTGGCTCTCCTGCAGCCAGAGACGGGGCCCCAGCAGATGCCAGGGCATGCTGCCAGCAGAGGTCAGAGCAGCAGGCTGCAGCCAGAGACGCCACCACAGCGATCCCATGCGCCCCTGCCACCGCTCTGCACCCCTCTGCACTGTGGTTGGTGACGTTCATGAGCACCTTGCATGCTGCCAGCACAAACCGCCGGCCTGCCCTTGACCGCACTGACAGCCTCTCTTTCACATCTCCACCACCATCACCATCACCATCACTATCACTATCACTATCGCCACCACCACCAATGCAGCCACCCTGTCTCCTGTTGCAAGCACCATTTCTGGAACCATTCCTTGTAGACAAACTGTTCTGGTGATCCTTCTCGCCCTCCCCATGCCTCCTTTGCCTCTTCTCCTCCCATTTCTTCTTGCCGTGAGCCCTCCTGTTTTGCGACCTCCCATTTTGTTCCCTCCTATGTTGCACCTTCCTCGCATTCCCCCCCACGCATGCATGCCTACAAAATCCACCACCCTCACCATCACTCCCACTGCTCCATCCCTCCACCTCCTCCCCCAGCCTTATCCCCGACCCACACACACCACCCCGCCCCTTCCCACACCCCTCCCCTCCCCCCATCCCCCCCCAATCCCCCCCCAACAACTGCACCTCCCACACTAATAGCTCCTCCTCCACTTGTGAGTCCATGAGAAACTCATATGGATCCTTCAACACTCCCACACTCCTCCCCAGCCGTCCATCACCGCCCTCTCTCACCCCTGAACCGCCCCCAATCGCACCACTCGCTCGACCGTGCCTTCCCCTGCCACTCAACCCAGATTCCTCCCACCCCCCCTCATCAGAGCCCTCCTGCTCCTCCCCTACCGCCTCGCCCAATACAATTGCTCCTCCTCTACCGACAGCACCACAGCGAGTCCCGACAGCACCACAGCGAGTCCCTACTGCACCACAGCGATCCTTGCAGATTCCCAACCCTCCCTCTTCCCCATCCTCCTCCCCTTCCCCCTCCTTCTCCTGGTCCTCTTCTGTTGCCGACACATCTTTCCCCAGCACCACAGCACCATGCCTGACCTCCATGAGATGAGCACCATTCTTGCAATATCGCCATCCCTCCTCATCAGAATCCCCCTCCACTGCCTCTCCCAGCATTACGCCCTGCTCTTGCTCTTGCACAACATCCTTCACAGCACTACGCCTTGCGCCCGAAGTGTAAGACGCCTTTCCCTGCTGCCCCTTATCAACGCTGCTGCTCTTCCCTGCACCTGCCCTCCCTGCAGCACTAACTGCAACCCTCCCTGCAATCTTCCCTGAAACCCTCCCTGTACCCTCCTCCTCCCATGGGTCAAAGGAAAACGGGTCTGCGGATGCCCTCTCCTTGCCACCTGCCTGGACCCCTCTCCTCCCCCCACCAGACTTCCCCTTTGCAGCCACCCCACACACTCTCTTCCTCCTATTTCGCCCACTTCCCTTCTCGTCCTCCCCACTCCCCTCTTCGCCCTCCTCACTCCCCTCCTCTCGCCCCAAGTCCAGAGGCACAGCATCGCCCAGAATAACCTTTCCCCCACCCCTGGCCCCCACTGTCCCTCCCACTGCTCTACCCTCATCCCCCTCGGAATCTGTTCCTGAAGAGCTAGCGCTCTCCTTGCCCCTTGAGCCATGAACGGCCCCACCACCTGAAAGAGGGGACGTGGGTCGAAGCGGGAAAAGTGGATTCGGAAAAGGGGGGACGGGAAGGGCGAAAGGTGGTTAAGAAGGGGGGGTACGGGGTTGGAAAACGGGGGAAGGCGGAGAAGAGGAGTAAAGAAAGAGCCAGCTTGCACAGCACGAAGGAGGGAAAAAAAAAAAACAAAAACAAAAACTCGAGTCTTAAAGAAGAGAAGGCATCAAAATGCCGGTTATTGCGCAGCAGCAGTGAGTTCACCTGCAAGGCGTTCCAGGCACTCCAACAGGAGAGCAAGAAATGGCCGCTCACTGCTGCTGACTCCCCTCCCTTCCCCTAGAACCCCACTCGAGGCCACTGTGGCCACGAGGGGCACGGCAGCGGCAGAGGCGGTGCGGCAGCCGGACAACTTTCTTCGCTTTGCTCCAGGTAGAGTGTCAGTGGGCAAGGAGAGGTGGATGAGATAGTCCTGGTGGGCGAGGGGATACATGGATGGAGGTAAGTAGAAATGGGCTCATTATTTAGTCAGCACAATTAGCAACTCCAGGGAGAATGTCAGTGAGCAAGGAGAGAGTCTGGTGGGGCAAAGACAAATGTTGAACAACGTTGAGATTGTATCACTAAATGGGAGGAGGGGGGATGGGGGGGGGGGGGGGGGGGGGGGAGGAAAAAAACCATGCGCAGACCTTCAGCACTCTACACAGCCTAGCGGCTCCAATTGACTTGAAAGGAGGTTTGGAACGAGCAGAAGGGACACGCAGCACACACCTGGTTATCGCGGCTCATGAACGTCACATGCTCCAACACGCCCAAACAGCTCGTCGCCACATCAGCACTGGCGGAGATTCTTCCGCCAAATGTCAGTCCCTCATTGGCTGCTGATGCTGCTACTGCTGCTTCAGAGCCACCCATCCGCTTGTGGTGCTGCTGCAAGTGGTGCTTCTTCTTGAGTCCGAGTGCATGCTCCTTGTTCCCCAGCTTCCGCCTTTTGACATCTCCTGCTGCTGCTTCCCTCTCTGCTTCCTCTCCCACGCCACCTGCACATGGCTGGGAAAAAGAAGGCCAGATTCATTGGTGACAGAAAGGTGATGGAGAGGCATATAATTGATTGACTCGATCCTCCTGGATTTGATTCAGTGACCAATAATATTTCTATGTCGTGCCATTCTCCCACCCGTATAAACAGATTGAGAGCGCTTTAGGACATCTTAGAGAGGAATGTGGTCGGTTTGAAACATCTCTCAATCCCTCACCTGGAGTGTAGAGCGTGCCAGCTGCAGCATGTGCCTGGCAGCCACGGCCGCCACCAGTTGCAGCCCTCCCAGGCGGCGCATTTCGTCCTTGAGCCCCACTCGCATGAGCTGATGCCGCCCGGGCCCACCGGTGGAGAAGGGCGGCAGGGTGCTGTCTGGTGCTGCTGTCAGGAATCAGGGAGAAAAAGAAGAGGGAGAAAGGGAGGCCAGTGCAGGATGGATGTGGAACAGTGCGACTTTTCAGGATTCTCAAAAGTGCCGTGGTGACGTTGCAGTTTTCGGTATAGCACCATCCATCCATCCATCCATCCATCCATCCATCCATCCATCCATCCATCCAGCCAGCAAAACACAAGCAATGAACAGGAGAAGAGGCATGCTCCTTGTCAGTGAGCCGTTCGTAGCGACTCCCCAAGGGAGACCCGGACGGATCCAAAGCATCAGATGTGGCGCGCTGAAAGCTTGGAGACAAATGAGTGCCCAAGAAAGGGGGGTTGAGACCTTGGAGGGCGATAACAGAAGAGCAAATCCGCTTCAGCGTGGCCAACACCAGCGCCACAACAGTCACATCCGACGACCCACCACCACCACCACCATCACCATCGCCGGTACCACCAGCAGCACCAGCACCACCAGTACCACCACCACGGCCTCTTCCCCCTTCCTCCTCCCGCTGCCCCTCCCCCTCCCCTTCCTCCTCCTCCCCATCCCACAGCACTCCCCCAAACCCTCTCGGAAACAGCTTCCTGACCTTACACTCTGCTGCTGCTGCAGCTTCCGCCTCCCGCCTCTCCCCCCCCTTGACAGGGCATTCTCGCCAGCTGAATCTTGCCCTGGCAGGAGGAGATGGGTCGCGAGTGGCAGCAGATGCAGATGCAGGTGCGGGACGAGAGCCTGGGCCGGCAGGTGGAGGGGCGGGGGCGCTGTGGTGTTTCAAGAGGGCTAGAAGGAAGCTGAGCGCATGGGACGGGTCTGGGAAGTCGCTTTCCACGTCCTGAGTGGGTGAATGGGGAGTCAGGGAGGAGCAAATAAAGAACAGAAGAAGAAAAGGGACAGCAAAAGAAGCATAGCAACAGCCCCAGAAGAAACGTGCATAAACATGGTGGAAAGACGCAGGGCACAAAGTAAGGCATGGTGAGAAGCTCAGTCAGGCACCAAAGTCCCTGCCAGAAAATTGACAGGCGCATTTGTAGGCAGCCGGGCACTCACATCAGAGGAGACGAAGAAAAAAATAGAGGCAGCGGCCAGCGCAAGAGGATGATCCGTTATTGGGAGAAGCAGAAGAGCATCCATGATCTGCTTTATTAGCCTGCAAACGAGACCAGAGAAACAGACATGGACAAAGGTGAATTGAGTTATGCAGATTCTCAAGATTGGGCAAGTGTGAGACATGGAACAATGGCAATATGAGACCTAACCTTCAAGACCAACCCTAAGGCGAATCAATCCTTAATAACCAAGCCTACAGTTAAGTGAACCAAGCTACCCCTGTGACAACAGAGAGAAACATGAAACTTAGGTGGCAGGACACCTCCTACCATCAAGCCAACCAACCCACCCCTGCGAGCGCAGCAGGCGACGGCGGTCCACAGCCGAGCAGATGGACGCCAGTGACGTGGCAGCTGACCTCTGCACCCTGATTGGCTGCCGCAGCTTCAGACCATCTAGTGCGAACATGGCCTCATCCAAGCTGGCCATCATCTCACCCGACTCCTGCGCCTCCATCAGACTCGTCCCTCTAGGGCCCCGGAAATCTGACTCCTCAGGTTCCAATAGACTGGCGCCTCTAGGCCCGGGAAAATCTGAGTCTTGCAAATACGGCTCCTGTGAACACAGTGGGGATGTGCCGGCTGCTGCTGCCGCTGCGGCTCCTGCTGCTGCAGCTGCCGCCGCTGCTACTGCTGCTGCGGCTGCAGTTCCCGCGGCAGGCATGAGGGATCCGCTCTGCTTCTGTGTCAAGAACGTGCTGCGGTGCACTGGAGACTTAAACAGTGCTTCCAGCTCCCGAAGCTCATCTTCCTCTGCATCGCTCTCTCGCTCACTATCCCCCTGCACCTTCTTATTGCACGGCCTCCGCTGCCCTAGGGTTTCTACCTCCGCCTCTTGGGATGCGCCATCTGCCTTGCCGCGCCAACCTTGCTTTCTCCCCTGACCCTGGCTCCCTTTACTCTGGTTCCCTTTACCGCCTTTCTTCAATTTTACGTGGTTCAAAAAGCCGCTGGAATCATCTCCACCGTCCGTTTGGCTTCGCCAGCTTGCTGCCAATCGCCGGCGCGGTTCTACTCGGTTGGGTTCGATTCTCGTGCGAGAGGGTCCGGGAGGTGGGAGGCTGGAGCGTGACGGCTGGGACAGAAACCCGCGAAAGGCATCAGGTTCGGAACAAGAGTGGTGCAGAGGTTCGGATTCCGGTGAGAAGAGTCCACCAGGGGGGGTGGCCTTGCAGTGGAACGAACGTGGACGATCCAGCAAGGCTTCGGGATCATCGCTGCCGACTAGCGACCAATCAGAGTTCTGTGAAGCAGAAACACAATAACAAGCAGGAATCAGGCTTGACAATTGCACGCAAATGCAGGCAGGATACGTGAAATTGGAGCATAAGGAGCATGTACATGTTAGATGCACATGTTTAGTAGTCTAATTTGTTCTTTCTCCAGATATGCATAGAAAGAAAGCCGATCGCGGGCTGGAGCCACAGGCTCGTACCTGGGACGAGGCAAGACCGTTCAGTTGGAACTCCTGCGACTGCGACGAGAAGAACGACTGCGAGTCCTGCGACGCTGACTCCGCAAACGAGTCATCTGAATCGCTCGGTACTCCTTTGCGTTTCCGCTGGTACGTCCTCACCAACATAGTGACCAATTTACGTCTCGCTTGAAGCTCCTGCGACTAAGACCTAGAGTTGAACTGGGCAAAATACTGCAGAAAGGAGTGTGTACGTTGTCGGGATCAGCCACCGTCCACTTCAGCGGAGGCGAGGCCACTGAGTTCTGTTCACAATACAGCTAGATATTCGAGAGTCGACTATACGAGAGCCATGCGATTGTGACGGTGATGAAACTCCCCCATACTAGTTCTACCTCGAAGGCAAAACCGTGGAAATTGGTAGTCGTCAGCTGGACTTGGGAGGTTGGAGGTCCTTGGGTGGGTGGAAAATCGATTTTTGAGGTCCGGTGAACTCTCTGTGGAATGTAAAATCAAGGTTTCCCGCGTCGTGCCAGTTGGAGATTCACCTTAGTATCAACCTCGATAACCTTGGAACTAACCGTGTCATTGAGGATGCTTTGTCGTGCCCTCTATATGGCTAATATAATGACTACGGTTCATCAACTGGGTTCTGTGCTGCATTTGTATCCAAGGCTGTATATTTCAGGGCTGTGTTCCGGTTTTCCTTTTGATTGCCTTCATTCCTTAGACAAAAGCAAGATGCAATTATCGCTCCAGTATCCCTCAAGGAAGTCAGCTTCATACCTACAGATATAGTCTGCACGGGTATCCAATCAGGCATAAAATACAACATGAATATTTTTAAAAGTTGTAACGCTTTTCACAATTTTGTATTTTGAAAGCGAAGCGGCTTGTCATGTAGCAATGGTCATCGGCGAACCGCGCTAAACGCCCGTTTTGGAGTACGAAACGTGGGCTGGAGGTCATTTCCTTCCACCCACGTCTTTCATTTTCAAGCGGCTTAGCCTAGTTTCCGAGTTCCCAATTCCAAGCTGGCAAAATTGAAGTCACTACCTCGTTTCCAGTATCCGTCGACACTCCTTTCTGACATTTTCGCTCATAACGCAGCTACTATGGCACTTAACGGCGAGAACGGTGACAACGCCAACGCTTCAATTCGTCCCGACGACGGACATACTACCCGCGAACCCGCGAGCGAACGCCGGAACAAGCGTCGGGCAGACGACGAGGAGTCGACCCCGACCGCCGTCGACATTCTGCTGTCCGACGTCGCTGGGGCACGCGCCCCTAGTGTGCCACGAGCGCAAGTGGCCCCTGAGGGGCCTAAGGTGCCGGCAGTCAACGAGGGCGCCAAGTCAACGCCGGCCAGCGCGACCGGCACCCCCCGTCAGCGTCAGCGCCGCAGGCAGGCACACGCGCCTGACGCGAGGCCTCAGGCGTACGTGGGCCCTGACGCGCCTCAGGCCCCTGACGCGCCTCAGGCCCCTGACGCGCCTGTGGCCTCGCCTGTCTTCACATCGGCCCAACTGCAGCAGCTGTTGTCCCTGTTACAGCAGCAAGCTCCCGCCGTTACGGACACCAACGCTACACCAAACGAAACGTCAATTTCTGCTAAAAGCGCGAAGGAAAAAAGGGAGACGGTGAAACGCGCTCGCACGGCAAAAATCGCACGCGCCGAGGGCACCACCGCCAAAGCTACCCCGGCCCCAGAAAACCCTGCCGACAGCGACACTTCCGACGACGAAGCTGGTGAGGCACCTGCCGATAATGCATTTTTTTCAACCACCGAGCACCTCCCCCCCCTCCTTACCTCCAACCCCAACCTCACCGCATCTTCCTTCAAGAACGGCGCTGTTCTTGAACAAGCCGAGCTCCTTGAGGACCTGCGCGCCTACCTGATGCATGCGGAGCAGAAAGTGCGGCTCAACGAACCGGCAAGCGCCATCGAACTCCTCGAGGAGGCGCTCTTGCTCGTCAATAATCGTTTCAAGCTTCTCCACGTCGTCGATTACACGAATTTCCGCGTCGCTAACCGGTTCAAGATGTTAAAGAGAAGAGCTTGTTCACCTCGCGCCCATTCAAGCAAGCCATGGCGGACGTTGCGGCCATGGAACGCGCCCAAGGCAACCCCGGCCGCGCCGCACGAGGTGGAGGGCGAGGAACCGGTGCATTTGGCAACAAACGTGGTCCACCAATGGACAACAACATCAGGAGCTTTCGTGGAACCTGCTTCAAGTGCGGACAGCCCGGCCACATGGCCAATATGTGCCCCGATAATGGGCGAGGGGCCCAAGGACCCGCGCTGGTGGTGTGACCCTATGAGAGGGAAACCACTTGGGGCGCCGAGAGCACGTTGCATGGGCAACATGGTGTGCTTAGGCCGATGGCCAGACCCTGCGGGGCGAGTAGAATGGCCGCCGGCCGACCCCTAGGGAAGGGAGTAGGACTAGGAGTCCTAGGACTTAGCCATGGGTGGCAATCATGAGTTGTATGCGTGTTAAAGCATGAAATATGGGCCGGAGTGGCAAGTAATGTGGACAATCTTTGATGTGTGGCTTAATGAATGAGATTTAAAATATTGGAACCTGGATTATTGAAACAAGCAGCCCTCGGAGAGTGAGGCCTAAGCGGTTGAGGTACTAAAAAAAAAAAAAAAAAACAACAACAACAACAACAAAAATTGGAGAAGAGGAGAAAGAAAGAAAGACAAGGAGAAGTGTGAGATGATGAAGATGTTGACTCTTAAGGAGGCCACACTATTTGGCCAGCACCGGCCCAATTTAACGGGACACGAGAGGGCCGCTTGCGCGACAAGCGCACAAGGAGGGCATACGAAGCATATTACTACGCGCAATTGACACGATGGGCAAAGAGCCCACGAGACAAGGCACGTTACCATAGAAAATGTGCAAAGCACAACCCGGCAGCCCACCTCGAGCTCGTCCAACATCGAGAGCCCTCGGGTGCACATACGGCAAGCCTAAGGTCGTGTATATTAGGTGTTGACAGACAAAAAAAAAAAAAACAACAACAACAACAATAAGGGAGAGAGAGGCGAACATATCAATATGAAAGAGAAGGGGAAGGGTGGGTCAATGGCCCACCTCGTGAGGGTTCGGCCATACACCGCCCCGTTGTTCGCTAGTACATGCACTCGTATTAATAGCAACTAGAGCTGATGCAAAAAAAAAAAAAAAAAAAAAAAAAAAAAAAAAAAAAAAAAAAAAAACGCCTTCACAGCCTGTGTCCTTTTTGCGACCCCTTGCACAGATCCACCGGATGGCGGTATGGGCGAGCGACACATCCCCTACGAATACGCAATCACAGATAAGCTTGTCACAAGGATGTGCGGTCGGCTACGCTTGGCATTCCCATGGTGGAGCTCATGGTGCGACAGCAGCTTCATACTCTCAGTGATATTTCACGGTTACTGGATGCCGTGGGAACTCATTCCTCCGGCGCCGTTCCAGCGCGAAAATCATGCGGGCGCACAGATCCACGCCCAGTTTACCAAACAGGCTATTAGCGAGCTCCTAGAAAGCGGCGCAGCTGCTCTTGCACCCGCGGCTCAGACCGTATGCATTAGCCCACTGAACGTGGTGGTCCAAAGAGAGAAATGCCGACTCATCCTCGACCTCCGCCAAGTGAACCTGCACCTGCGCATTCCAAAATTCAAGTACGAGGGGCTCAATCGGGTTGCGGAGATCGCTCGCATGGGCGACTGGATGTTCTCTATCGACCTAAAGTCTGGGTATCACCACGTGGATATTCACCCATCGTGCTGGAAGTACCTGGGATTTCGATTTGACGGAAAGACATACATATTCCGCTCGCTCCCGTTCGGCCTCGCGACGGCCCCATTTGTTTTTACTCAACTTATCAAACAACTCGCTCGGCGCTGGTGAGCCATGGGCATACGGGTCATTCCTTATGTCGACGACATCCTCTTCCTTTGTGACACGGAAGCGAAAGCACGAGCCACATGTCAATCAATCATACATGACCTCAACAAGGCAGGGCTTGTGATCAACTCAAAAAAGTCGCATCTACAACCGACCCAGCAGTTGCGTTTCCTAGGCGTCGAGTTAGACACTGATCGTGGTCAGTTCTCTATCGGCGCTGAACGTCGAGCCTCACTACTCTCCACCCTCCAAGTCCTTCAGAGGGAAGGAAAGGCAGAATGCAAGGTCCCAGTCCGTCACATCGCCAGAGTCACCGGCATGCTGGCTTCCATGTCACTGGCTCTTGGGGCGACGACACGAGCGTTCAGTCAAGGCCTACTGCAGGCAATCCAGCAGGCACCATCATGGAATAGTAAAGTGCTGCTGGACCCTATGGCGATTGAAGAACTGGACTTTTGGCGCCACGAGTTCGACAAATTCAACGGCGCACCATTTCACGTCCCCAACAGCTACGATGCTGTCATCCATGTGGATGCCAGCGCACACACTTGGGGAGCAACGTTGGACAAGTTCCCAGGACGGCGTATCGAGGCAAGTGCGGCAATGCCGAAGCATCTGCTAGAGTCATCCAGCACGCAGCGAGAGATAGATGGCGTTCTATGGGCACTCCAAACGTTTTCAGAAAGCATCCGCGACCAGCACGTCCTCGCAAGGACCGGTAACCAAGGCGTCTTCTTCATCCTTCGAAAAGGTGGTTCAAGGCACACCAACCTTACAGCAACGTGCAAGTCGATCATCCAGACATGCATGACTTTTCGGATTCGGCTCATGGTCGAATGGATCCCGCGCGAACTAAACACACGGGCGGATGAACTCTCCAAGGCGCTCGATCGTGACGAGTACTCACTAAAGACACCTTGGTTCCGGCTCATCGAGCGCCGCCTGGGCCCGCACTCAATTGATCTATTCGCAAATGGGAGCAATACCAAGCTACCTCGGTTCTGCTCCAAAACACCGCACCCAGACGCAGCGGCAGTTGACGCATTTTCGATCCCATGGACCTCCGAGCAGGGATACGCATTCCCTCCACCGCACTTAATCCCAGCAGTGCTCCACCACGCGAAACGAACGCGCGCCGCCATCACTCTCGTCACGCCTTGCTGGCCTGGCGCAAGTTGGTGGCCCCTACTGCAACCCTCCCCTCCTCAATGGGCCACCTACATTCACACCCACCTCCACCTCACGCACGGTAGCCAGTGCCTGACGGCAGGCAATCACTCCAGCGCCTTCTCCGGCGACGGTTTGCCGTGTAGTCCGATGGTCGCACTACGCGTGTCATTCACCTGCTAACTGCTTTTGCACACGATGCAGGATTGCTGGAAAAACTCAAGCATCGCCTACTAGAGATAACCACGCAAACGCGGGCCGACTCCACAATCCGTACATACGAGCCCTACTGGGTCAAGTTCCGCTCCTTTTGCCAACACCACAAGCTCAAGTTCCTCCCATGCACTGACATGACGCTCGCGCTGTACCAGGTCCACGCCATTCAACACAAGGCTACGGTGTCTGCAATTCAGTTGACATGCTCTGCAGTCGGCTTCGCCCATCGGTCGATCGGGGCATCATGCCCGTCTATCGGCGCATTCACCTCTCAAGTCAGAGATTATGCGAAGAAGCAATGTCCGCACCCTACCCGGGCCAAAGAACCCGTGTCGCTTCATCAAGTCCACGCGATGGCATCGGAATTTCTACAGTCAGACAACCCTCGCGAATTTCAGAAGGGGCTAATACCGATCATAATGTACGCCGGGTTTCTGCGCTACTCCGACCTTGCAGTCATCAACTGGCATGAGATTCATTTCGAGCCGGAAGTCATGTGGTTACTAATACCCCGTTCCAAGACGGATCAGGCAGGAGAAGGCACATGGGTCCCGGTAGCGGCAAGCCCTGGCCCTTTTTGCCCAGTTCGGTGCACCAAACGGTTCATACACCTAGCACGATACGATCAGTCGCAACAAGGTCCACTCATCCGCGTCTTTGGAACAGAGGGTGGGAAAAACGGTGCCGCCAAGTCGCCATCCTACACCACAATCCGCAACTGGTGCAAAGAGGCCTTCAACAAAATCGGTCTTAGTTTCGAGCATCTCGGCACCCACTCTTTTCGGAAAGGCGCAGCAACTGTCGCAGCCAACCCCGGAATATCAAACCGCATCCTGAAGCGACTAGGAAGGTGGAGCAGCGACACCGCCAAGGAGACGTACATCACTGTCAAACATTATATATGTTGTGTTAGTTTAGGCTACAGTGGAATAGCCTATAGAGGGTACACAATTCTAGGGTTAGGTTTTGACCTATTTGTACCCAACTGCCATTCTAGTCAACCATTCCTGTTTCATACTTCTGAGATGGTTTCAGAGCAGGTCCTTCACTAGGACCGAAATTTTTTTTTAAGGGCCCACCACTACCTATCTAACTACCTGCGCCTAGGGCGCCTCGTTCTTACGGCCCCTTGAGGCCCTCACGCTAGCCTCTTAAGGCCCCTCACGGCCGCGTCGCCCCTTAGAGGCCCCGTCGGCCCCACGCTAGCCTCTTACGGCCCCCCCTTCAGGCCCCGCGCTAGCCCCTTAAGGCCCCGTGCGGCCCCGCGCTAGCCTCTCACGGCCCCTTAGGCCCCGCGCTAGCCCCTTCGAGCCCTCGTCGGCCCCGCGCTAGCCTCTAACGGCCCCCGAACGGACCCGTTCGGCCCCGCGCTAGTCCCGACCGGCCCCGTGCGGCCCCGCGCTAGCCCCGAACGGCCCCTTCAGGCCCCGCGCTAGCCCCCCTTAAGGCCCCCCGTCGGCCCCGCGCTAGCCTCTCACAGCGCGACACGGACGAACCGCGCGACCCGAGCCGAGCCGCGCGACCCGAACCGAGCCGCGCCGCCCCCAGCCGAGCCGCGCCATCCAGCCGAGCCGCGACCCGAGCTGCAACCGAGCCGCGCCACCCTGCCCTATCTGGTTCGTCCTACCTATTTCTTAAACTGCTACTGCTACTGCTACTGCTACTGCTGCTGCTGCTAGTCTACTGTTCCTATGGCTAGCCCACAGGTTCTTGTGTTCGATGCTGAGGGCCGCCCTGTGAAGTTTGACACCTGGCTCGATGACCTTCACCTCTACCTACAGCTCACAGCCAAGGATGACATCTCACTGTATGACCACGCCCTAGGCAATGTCACTGCCCCTGCTGCTACTGCTGACAGCACTGCTCGCTCACAGTGGCAGACTCGTGATGCCCACGCTCGCTTCACCATTCGCAACTCCCTGCCGATAGACGAACGCGAGCACTTTGGCCAGCACAAGACTGCACAGGCACTGTACACAGCTGTAGTTGCTCGCTACTCCTCACCTGCCTCTGCCGCACTAGGTCGTCTCTCCCTCCCCTACCTGTTTCCCGACCTGGCCTCCTTTCACACAGTCGCTGACCTCATCACGCACCTCCGCACTAGTGAGGCCCGCTTCCGTGCCGCCATGCCTGCTGAGTTCCTTACCACGCACCCCCCTCCACTCTGGCTCACTCTCTACCACCTAGTCACCCGCCTCCCTGACACTCTGCGTGCTGTCAGGGACCACTTCCTAGCTCGTTGCCCCACTGAGCTCACCATTGCCCTCCTCGAGAAGGAGCTCCTTGCAGCTGAGACTAGCGTAGTCGCTGTAGGTGCCTCTCGTGGCGACCCCCGTACCCCGTTCTTTGAGGGGTGTTCTCCTTCCCCCCTTCTTCCCTCTGTCGCCTCTGCTGCTGCTGTCGACCTTCTCGGTGCTGAGAAGGTCGGCGCTGCGTCTGCCTCGAGCAGGCGCCGCAACGGCAAGGGCAAGGGGGGCAAGGGTGGTAGCGGTGACGGCGGGGGAGGCGGCGGTGGGAGCGGTGGAGGCAGTGGGGGTGGTGGCTCGGCTGGAGGGGCGAGTGGTAGCGGTGGGGGTGGTGGCGGCGGCGGCGAGGGAGGTGGTAGGAGTGGAGGCGGCGGCTGGGGTGGCGGTGGACGAGGCGGTGGCAGGGGTTGGGGTGGTCGAGGGGGTGGCAGCGGTGGTGGTGGCCGTGGAGGCACTGGCGGTGGCCAGCGCCAGCAGCACACTCCCTCGCCCCAGGAGGTCCGTGAGTGGTACTCTCAGCACGGGGGTGGGGGTGGTCTTGGCTGCACGTACGTCATTCGCACTGGTGACCGCACTGGTCAGCAGTGTGGACGACCGCACGCCACACAGCGCTGTTTCTCTCGTCTCGACGACGCTTGGCGTGTTCAGTTCCCTCAGGCCACTGAGCTGCCCCGCTGGCTTGATCTCCTGAAGAAGGGGATTGATATCTATGCTTTAGACTTTGATGCTATTCTATCTGCCATGTATGTGATGTCTACTAGTGGAGAGGGTGCCGAGTACTTGTGTGTGCCGCCCGACCCGGGCATTAGGGCCAGTGCGTCTGCAGCTCCAGGTACTCGCGTGTCGGCTACCCCAGGTGCTGGTGAGGCTGCTGCTCTAGGTGCGCGTGTGTCCCCCCCCCCCTGTACTGTGTCGACTGCCGCACTGCACACCTTCACACTGGACTCAGGTGCTTCTCGCTGCTTCTTTCGTGACCGCACTGCCCTTGAGCCGCTTGCTCGGCCAGTTGCTGTCTCACTTGCTGACCCCTCTGGGGGCCCGGTCATTGCGACCTCCTCCACTCTCCTTCCCTGCCCTGCGGTCCCGTCGGGCACACTGTCAGGTCTCCACCTCCCCTCGTTCTCTACGAACTTGGTGGCAGGATGTGCTCTCCAGGACGGGGGTGTTCACCAGTTCACCCCTGCCTACGAGCGTGTGACCCACTGCACGTGTGCTCGTACGGGCCGCCACTTGGCTACCTTCACCCGGCAGCCGGGGTCGGACCTGTACACACTGACTACTGCCTCCCCTCAGGTCGCTGCGTCTGCGTCTGTGTTCACGTCCGCGTCAGGTCAGCTGTCTGCCCCCTGCTCGTGTCGCTCTCTAGCGCACGACACTGTCCTCTGGCACCACCGACTTGGCCACCCGTCTGTGCAGCGCCTTCGTGCCATGCACTCCCGGTACCTTGTCTCTGGTCTTCCCAGGGTCATCCCTCCCCTCCCACCCTCGCCTGCTCCTCCCTGCCTTCCCTGTGTCGAGGGGCGGCAGCGCGCCGCTCCTCACTCCTCCTCGTTTCCCCCGACTACTGCTCCTTTGCAGACGCTCCACATGGACGTGTGGGGCCCAGCCCGCGTCCGTGGTCAGGGTCAGGAGAGGTACTTCCTGATCGTTGTTGACGACTACTCGCGCTACACCACGGTCTTCCCCTTGCGCACCAAGGGTGAGGTCCCTGATGTCTTGATCCCTTGGATCCGCAGAGCCCGTCTCCAGCTCAGCGAGCGTTTCCACTCGGACTTTCCTGTCCTGCGCTTGCACTCTGACAGAGGTGGTGAGTTCTCCTCCGACCTCTTGGCAGCCTTGAGTGCTAAGCACGGCATTGAGCAGTCGTCCACGCTTCCGGCCTCTCCACAGCAGAATGGGGTTGCGGAGTGCCGCATTGGCCTGGTCATGGAGGTCGCCCGTACCTCCTTGATCCATGCGGCTGCCCCCCACTTTCTGTGGCCGTTTGCGGTCTGGTACGCTGCGCACCAGCTCAACCTCTGGCCCCGTGTCTCCTTGCCGGAGACCTCGCCCACGCTGCTGTGGACGGGGGAGGTTGGCGATGCGTCGCGTTTCCGGGTCTGGGGGTCTCGAGCTTTTGTCCGCGATACGTCTGCGGACAAACTCTCCTTTCGTGCTGCTCCCTGCGTCTTCCTCGGCTTTGTCCCGGACGCGTCTGGTTGGCAGTTTTACCACGCCACCTCGCGCCGAGTCTTGCCCTCCCAGGACGTCACTTTTGACGAGTCCGTCCCCTACTACCGCCTCTTTTCCTACCGCACTGCCCCGCTTCCCCCCCCGCCTCTCTTCCTCGCGCCAGGTGCTGCTGTTGCAGACCCCCTCCCCCCTCAGGGTGCCGCTCCCTCAGGTGTGTCTCAGGTAGACCCGGTTGAGCCTGTTGAGGTAGCTGTCGACTCTCGTCCTGCTGGGGGTACTGAGCCTGGGGGTGTGGAGCCTGGGGGTGTGGAGCCTGGGGGTGTGGAGCCTGGGGGTGTGGAGCCTGGGGGTGTGGAGCCTGGGGGTGCTGAGCCTGGGGGTGTGGAGCCTGGGGGTGTGGAGCCTAGTGGTGCTGAGCCGCAGAGTCCGGAGTCTGGGAGTTGGAGCTGTTGCTGGTGCTGAGGACTCGGGCGTTGGAGCTGCTGCTGGTGCTGCAGACCCGGGCGTTGGAGCTGCCGCTGGTGCTGCGGACCCGGGCGTTGGAGCTGCTGCTGGTGCTGCGGACCCGGGTGTTGGAGCTGTTGCTGGTGCTGAGGACCCGGGCGTTGGAGCTGCCGCTGGTGCTGCGGACCCGGGCGTTGGAGCTGCCGGTGGTGCTGCGGACCCGGGCGTTGGAGCTGCTGGTGGTGCTGCGGACCCGGGTGTTGGAGCTGTTGCTGGTGCTGAGGACCCGGGTGGTGGAGCTGTCGCTGCTGCTGCGGACCCTGGGGCGAGTGTTCCTGCTCACTCTGGTGTAGCTGCTCGGTACCGACCGTACTTCGTTCCGCTCCTTCAGCAGGTTCTTGGTTAGCTCCCTCCTCCTTGTCCTCCTCTCTCCTTAGCGTGTCCTCCGTCTGTCCAGCTACAGTCGCAGCTACCGTCTACCTCCTCTCTCCCTGGTCCTGCTCCTTACACTGGTCCGACTGGAGGTCTTACTGAGCGTCGTGAGCCTGAGTCTCGCCCTGCGTCACCTGTCCGCACTGCTCTCTCTAGCAGTCGTGTCCAGCGTCAGAGTCTTCCTGTTGTCCCAGGCACTCACCGGATGGCGCTTCGTCCGTCCACTGCTCCACATCGTATCCCACTGCCGTCTCCTCCTACTTTTTCTCTTCCTGTTCTTGCTGACCCTGAGTCAGACTCTCTTCGTACTGCCAGTCCTACTGTCACGCATCTCCTGGCTACTGTTGTCACTGACCCTTCCTTTGAGTCTGCTGCTGCGTCCGCCTTAGTTGCTGAGCTTGTCGACTTTGCTGCCCGCGGTCGTCTAGACTACGCTGCTAGCCTAGTTGCTGAGTCTGAGTCTGTCTGTCCTCCGTCCGTCGGGGGTGAGTGTGCTCTTGGCACTGACATCCTTGAGGACAGGCAGGAGGAGTTTGAGTGCTTTGCTGCTGCTTTGCCCCATCTCGTGTCCATGCTTGTTGCCCCTAAGGGAGACCCGGATGCACCAGACATCCCGACCCCACGCTCTTACGCAGAGGCGATGGCCGGTCCCTACCCCTCTCAGTGGCAGTCAGCCATGGACACAGAGATGGCTTCCTGGAAGTCCACTGGCACCTACGTCGACGAGGTTCCCCCACCTGGGGCGAACATCGTCAGTGGCATGTGGATTTTCAGGGTGAAGCGGCCGCCGGGCTCTCCGCCTGTCTTCAAGGCGCGTTACGTTGCACGAGGCTTCAGCCAGCGAGAGGGAGTTGACTTCTTCCAGACCTTCTCCCCGACCCCGAAGATGACCACTCTTCGGGTTCTGCTGCACGTCGCCGCTCAGCGTGACTACGAGCTCCACTCGCTTGACTTCAGCACTGCTTTCCTGCAGGGCAGCCTGCACGAGGAGATCTGGCTGCGCCGTCCACCTGGCTTTACTGGGACGTTCCCTCCTGGTACCCAGTGGAGCCTCAGACGGCCAGTCTACGGTCTCCGCCAGGCGCCTCGTGAGTGGCACGACACACTGAGGACTACGCTTGCTGCTCTTGGGTTCGCGCCTTCTACTGCTGACCCGTCGATGTTTCTACGCACCGACACCTCACTGCCGCCGTTCTACGTCCTTGTGTACGTCGACGACTTGGTCTTTGCTACTGCTGACATTGTGGCACTCGCCCACGTGAAGTCGGAGCTGCAGAAGAGACACACGTGCACAGACCTGGGTGAACTGACAAGCTATCTTGGCTTGCGGATCACCCGGGACAGAGCACGCCGCACCATCACCTTGACTCAGTCACACATGGTGCAGCAGGTCCTTCAGCGCTTCCGCTTCACGTACTCCTCGCCTCAGCCCACTCCTCTGCCTACCGGTCACTCGCTCTCAGCTCTGCCTCCGGATGAGTCCGTAGAGCCGAGTGGCCCGTATCCAGAGCTTGTGGGTTGCCTCATGTACCTGATGACCTGCACTCGACCAGACCTTGCATACCCTCTCAGTATTCTTGCACGCTATGTCGCTCCCGGCCGTCACCGGAAGGAGCACATGGATGCAGCGAAGAGGGTGTTGCGCTACTTGTGCAGTACGTCGGGCATGGGGCTAGTGCTTGGAGGGCGAGTCCCAGTTGTTCTCACTGGGCACTCAGACGCTTCTTGGGCAGACGACCAGGCTACTCAGCGGTTGTCTCAGGGTTACTCCTTCAGTCTTGGCTCTGGTTCTGTTTCTTGGCGTTCTACTCGCTCTTCTTCTGTTCTCAGCTCTAGTTGTGAGGCTGAGATCTACGCCACAGCCATGGCGGCCCAGGAGCTACGATGGCTCACCTACTTGCTGACCGACCTTGGAGAGCAGCGTCGTTCTCCTCCAGTTCTGTACGTCAACAACAAGGCAGCCATTGCCTTGTGTGAGGAGCAGAGACTGGAGCACAGAACGAAGCACATTGCTCTGCGTTACTTCCTTGCTCGAGAGCTGCAGTAGCGTGGTCAGCTTCGTCTGCGTTACGTGGCCTCTGAGGCCAACACTGCTGATGTGTTCACCAAGGCGCTTCAGCCTTGTGACCATCAGCGCTTTTGCACTCTTCTAGGCCTTATGCCTATTGGACCTCACTTACTTACTTCTTGAGACTGTTTGTACTGTGATATCTATATATATACCTGCATGTTTTCTCTTGTTAGGTTGTGATCATTGTACCTTTTGCTCTATTATAAACCTGCATGTGAACTGGTCTTGTGACCACTTGCTTGTGCTCGGAATTTGTGTGGTATCCTTGAGATCCACCCTGAGCTTGTTTTACCTTGCTTTGCCTTGATTGGTCTTGTGACCCCTAGTTCTCCCCCACTTTGCCTATGGGGGTGTGCCAAACATTATATATGTTGTGTTAGTTTAGGCTACAGTGAGTTAGCCTATAGAGGGTACACAATTCTAGGGTTAGGTTTTGACCTATTTGTACCCAACTGCCATTCTAGTCAACCATTCCTGTTTCATACTTCTGAGAATCACGCCTGCCGCAGACCAACTTGTGGGGGCTTCGAAGCAAGTTCAAGACCCAGCACGAGCCCTCTCCCCCGCTCAACACGCCACGACAGTGGCGCGCCAACGGCGTCCAACAAGACACATGTCTCAGAAGACCCATTTGAAATGAGATGATGCCATTGCTACAACAAGACAGCAAGCTTTCTAAAATATGAATATTTTTAAAAGTTGTAACGCTTTTCAAAATTTTGTATTTTGAAAGCGAAGCGGCTTGTCATGTAGCAATGGTCATCGGCGAACCGCGCTAAACACCCGTTTTGGAGTACAAAACGTGGGCTGGAGGTCATTTCCCTCCACCCACGTCTTTCATTTTCAAACGGCTTAGCCTAGTTTCCCGCCCACCCACCCCGTTGAACTGGGACCAATTATGGATAGTTGATTGCTTTACCGTCATCACCCGGATATAAGATAGTGTCGAATTGAAGACATGGGGTGTCGTTAAAACGGGTGTTTCTTATAGATGGGTGTTCCTGATTATAAGACAACTGTCGGTGTGTACAAGTTAAGCCAGTATAGGGATTAGGGGCAATCTTATGACTAGGGGGTATCTTCTAAACGGTTTTTTGTCCATTTATAAGAATTATAAGACACCCTAAACCGTCCCAATTACAAGACACAGCAAGCTTTTTTTCTAATGTACTGATAAGACATATATGTCTTCTATCCGGGCGATGACGGTAGAATAATTGCATGCTAGCTTGGACATGTTTGTACGATGCCATTTGAAATGAGACGATGCCATTGCCATTTGAAATGAGACGATGCCATTGCTACAACATAACAGCAAGCTTTCTAAAATATTCCAATATAAATTGTTCTGTCTGTGTCTACTATACGAGAGCCATGCGATTGTGACGGTGATGAAACTCCCCCATACTAGTTCTACCTCGAAGGCAAAACCATGGAAATTGGTAGTCGTCAGCCGGACTTGGAGGTTGGAGGTCCTTGGGTGGGTGGAAAATCGATTTTTGAGGTCCGGTGAACTCTCTGTGGAATGTAAAATCAAGGTTTCCCGCGTCGTGCCAGTTGGAGATTCACCTTAGATCCTGTGGGATCCCGTTCCTCCGTTCTCCGTTCGTACCTCCCGAGCCTGATCCTACCTCTCGTTCGTACCAGTTTCGTAGTTACCGCGCCTAGTACCGAGCCTAGCGTCATCTCCCCCGTCGCGTCACGCCTGTTCCCCCCCCGTCGCGTCACGCCCGTTCCCCCTGTCACGTCGCGCCCGTTCCCCCCGTCGGTCGCGCCCGTTCCCCCCGTCGCGTCGCGCCCGTTCCCCCTGTCGCGTCGCGCCCGTTCCCCCCCCGTCGCGTCGCGCCCGTTCCCCCCGTCGCGTCGCGCCTGCCTGTTACCACCCCCCCCGTCCCGTCGCCCTGTCCCGTCGCGTCGCCCTGTCCCGTCGCCCTGTCCCGTCGCCCTGTCCCGTCGCGTCGCCCTGTCCCGTCGCGTCGCCCTGCCCTGTCCCGTCGCGTCGCCCTGCCCTATCCCGTCGCCCTGTCCCGTCGCGTCGCCCTACCCCGTCGCGTCGCCCTGCCCTGTCCCGTCGCCCTGCTCCGTCGCGCCGCCCTGCCCCGTCGCGTCGCCCTGTCCCGTCGCGTCGCCCTGCCCCGTCGCGTCGCCCTGACCTTTCCCCCGTCGCGTCGCCCTCCCTAGGCCCTGGCCTGTCGCCCTTCCTAGGCCCTGGCCCGTCGCCCTACCCTAGGCCCTGGCCCGTTGCCCTACCCTACGTCTTGGCCCGTCGTCCTAGCCCACTCTTCCGCTGCGACTGAGTCCTCTTCCCCCCCCGGTTGTTACTCGCCTGTTCGTTCTCACTATGGCGACTCCGCGAGTTCTTCGTTTCGACGCCGACGGTAGACCCCTTGACTTTTCCGTCTGGCTTCTTCGCGCTCGTCGTCTGTTAGAGAGTCAGGTCCAGGGGGGCGAGACCCTCTGGTCACACGCTACTGGTGACCTCCCCGAGCCCCCCGAGCCTACAGCTTTAGGCCCTGCTCCTGACGATGCTGCTACGGCTCGCTTTGCCCGTCAGCGCGCTGACCGGACGGCTTGGACGTCGCGTGACGCTGCGGCCTGCATCGCACTCAGCAGCCTCCTCCCTGAGTCCGAGGAGGTCCACTTTACTCAGGTTCGCACCGCTGCTGCGTACCTCACTGCGATTAAGGCCCGCTACTCTACTCCCGCTACTGTCTCTCTCGGCCGTCTTTTCCTCCCGTTCCTGTTTCCTGATCTTGCCTCGTTTGAGCGCTCTGCTGACTTGATCGCTCACCTCCGCTCGCTTGACGCTAGTTACCGCGCTGCTTGCACTGAGGCACAGCTTGCACTGCTTCCTCCCCCCATGGCGATTACTGTCTATTTCATCGCCACTAGCCTCCCTGACCGCCTTGCCTCCGTTCGTGACGCGCTTCTGCTGAAGCACCCTAGTGAGCTGACTATCGAGGTCCTTGAGTCTGCACTCAAGGATGTCGAGAGCAACCTTCGTTCGGTAGCTGCCGCCTCTGGTACTGTATCCCCCCCACTCTTCCACGGGTGTACAGTCCCGCAGTTACCCACCTTCACTGCCTCTCTTGCCACTGCCGCTACTGACGCGACTGCGGCTGCTGTTACGACTGCGTCGCGGTCCCCGCGGCAGGGGGGGCAAGAAAGGTAGTTCCGGTGGAGGTGGAGGCGGAGGTAGCGGAGGTAGTGGGGGTGCTGTTGCGACTGGCGGTGGTGGGAGTGCAGCGTCTGGAGAGACCCCTCGTGCAGCGGCCGGTGACTCCACTGCACCTGCTGGTGGCAGCGACCCTCGAGCTCGTCAGTCGCCTCCTGTACTGTCGGCCCCCGCTAGGTGGAGCAGCGGCGTGGGTACCAGGCTCAGCGTCAGCAGCACCTTCAGCAGCAGCAGCAGCCCCTTTCCTCCCAGCAGCCTCAGCAGCAGCAGCGTCAGCAGCTGGCTCCGGGGTCGGGGCTGCGTCAGCCCCAGCGCGGTGCTGGCTTACCCTCCCTGCCCCTACCAGGTTCAGACAGGTCCTCGTCGGGGCCACCCTTGTGGCCGCTTTCCACCCCCCTGGTCAGTGCTTTGCTCAGCTCACTGACACGGTCCGGTTGACCTACGGGGTTGGCGGTCCTGCTCCTGACTGGCTTCCTCTGGTTCAGCGCTACGGCTCCGCTCTGTGGGGCATGTCTGCTGAGCAGTTAGTTGATCTGATTAGTGCTCCTCATGCTATGTATGCTGTTGTTGACTCTAGTGTTTCTGACTCTGTTTACTCTGGTGTTGTTAGCTTAGGTGCTAGTCTTGCTGAGTTGCCTGTTGCTAGTGTAGGTACTTGTGTAGACTCTAGACCAGCGACTACCTCAGAGGACGCTTCGCTGTCGTTCACACTGGACTCTGGAGCCTCCCACTGCTTCTTTCGGGACAGCACGACACTTACACCACTTCCTGCGCCTGTTTCTGTAGCGTTGGCTGATCCCACTACGGGACCAGTCACTGCACGTCACACTACCACTTTACCGTGTCCTGCTGCTCCCTCCGGGTCTCTCACTGGGTTTCACGTCCCCTCGTTCTCCCGGAACTTGGTGGGCGTGCGACCCCTCGTGAGCCAGCACGTGGGTGTGTGGTTTGAGCCTTCTGGAGAGACTGCGGTGTGTGTTGACGGAGACTCTTACCAGCCTCTTGCTACCTTTACTGCTGAGCCGGGCTCGGGTCTCTACACTCTTCACACTGGCCCGCGTGCGCCGCAGCAGCAGCCGCAGCCAGCAGCAGCAGCGCAGCCGCAGCAGCCAGCAGCAGCTAGCAGCAGCAGCACCAGCGGCCGCACCAGCAGCCCCCCCCTACTGCCACTGCCCCCGGTTCCCCCCCCCGTTCGGGTCCCCGCGTCTCACCAGGTTGCTACGTCCCCCCAGGTGTCTGTGTCGTGTCAGGTTCCTCCGTCTGTTCCAGTCGCTGCGTCGTGCTCCTGCCGGTCGCTTGCCCACCCCACCGTTCTGTGGCACCACCGGATGGGGCACCCGTCCCTTCCACGTCTGCGCGCTATGTCTAGTCAGCGTCTTGTCCTAGGCCTCCCACGTGTCTTGCCGTCGCTGCCGCCTTCGCCTGCGCCGCCGTGTCGTCCCTGCGTCGAGGGTAGGCTGCGCGCCACCCCTCACTCCTCCTCCCTTCGTCCGGCCACCGAGCCTTTTGAGACGCTTCACTTGGACGTCTGGGGCCCAGCCCCTCGTCTAGGCCCTGAGCGTGAGCGTTACTTTCTGGTGGTCGTTGACGACTTCTCCCGCTACACCACAGTGTTCCCTCTGGCGAAGAAGTCTGAGGTGACTTCCTACGCTGATCAGGTGGTTGCTCACCACCGAGGACACTCGTGGTCGTCGTGTCAGCTGTCTCCACTCCGACCGTGGGGGTGAGTTTCGCTCCGGCATTCTCGCTGGATTCTGTCGCGAGCAGGGCATTCGTCAGTCCTGGACGCTTCCAGAGTCCCCACAGCAGAATGGGGTTGCTGAGCGCCGCATAGGCCTGGTCATGGAGATCGCCCGCACCTCCCTGACTCACGCCTGTGCCCCCCATTTTCTGTGGCCCTAACGCGGTCAGGTACGCCGCGCACCAGCTGAACCTCTGGCCACGTGTCTCTCGACCAGAGGTTTCACCGACCAGTCTTTGGACAGGGTTCCCTGGTGTTGCGTCGCGGTTTCGTGTCTGGGGGTGCTTGGCTCTTGTCCGCGACACCTCCGCGGACAAGCTCTCGCCTCGTGCCGTCCCCTGTGTCTTCCTTGGTTTCCCTGAGGACTCCTCTGACTTCACCTTTTACCACCCTCCCTCTTGTCAAACATTAGATATGTTCTGCTTGTGTAGGCTACAGTGGGTTAGCCTATAGGGGGTACACAATTCTAGGGTTTCCTACTTGTACTCATTTCACTGCTAGTTCATTCATTCCTGTTCGCTTATTCTCACATGGTATAGAGCGGGTCCTTCTACGGACCGGTTTTTCTTGGGCCCACCGAAGCGCCCCCCGAGGCGCGATCTTTTTTTTAGCGACCCCTCGGGTCGCCATTTCCCCTGCGGCCCCCGCCGCCTTCACTGACGCGGCCCCGCCGCCCTCTCTGTCGCGGCCCCGCCGCCTGCTCTCACGCGGCCCCGCCCCGGCTCCTTCGCGGCCCCGCCGCCTGCTCTCGCGCGGCCCCGCCCCGGCTTCTACGCGGCCCCGCCCCGGCTTTCACGCGGCCCCCGCCGACGGCTTTGTCGCGGCCCCGCCCAGGCCCTTACGCGGCTCCGCCGCCTGCTCTCACGCGGCCCCGCCCCGGCTCCTTCGCGGCCCCGCCGCCCTGCTCTCGCGCGGCCCCGCCCCGGCTTCTACGCGGCCCCGCCCCGGCTTTCACGCGGCCCCCGCCGACGGCTCTGTCGCGGGCCCCGCCCAGGCCCTTACGCGGCCCCGCCGCCTGCCCCCCGTCGCGGCCCGGTCACCTCCTGACGGCCCCCGCCGTCCCTTCGTGACGGCCCCGCCGGCACCTCCTGACGGCTCCTGCCGTCCCCTTCTACCGGCCCCCGCAACTGCACCTGCTGGCCCCGCCGCTGCACCTACCGGCACCCCCACCACCCACCCCCCCCCCCCTTTTCCCGTCGCCCGTCGCGGCTCCTTCGGGGGCCGCAGCAGAGGGGTGGCAGGTGTGTGGCCTCCCCTGCTTCTCCTCCTCCTTCATCTCCCACTGCAGCAGCCGAGCCGCTCACCTGCAGCAGCCGAGCCGCCCCACCGCCGAGCCGCCCTGCACCCGAGCCGCCCCAGCAGCCGAGCACCCTGCCGCCGAGCCGCCGGGTCGCTGAGCTGCTGAGCTGCAGTTGCTGCCGAGCCGCCCTGCCGCCGAGCCGCCGAGTCACCGAGCTGCTGAGCTGCAGTTGCCGCCGAGCCGCCTTGCCGCCGAGCCGCCCGAGTCGCCCGAGCCGCCGAGCCGCCGAGCTGCCGAGCCGCTGAGTCGCCGAGCCTACTCTTCCCACCACTGGTGAGCTCTTGCCCTGCTAGCACGCCTGCGCGTCGCCTGCTTGCCTGCCTGCCTGCCTTTTGGCTTGCCTGGCTGCCTGCCTCCCTGCTGCTAGTCCTGCTCCTGCTTCTACTTGCGGAGCCAAATGCAGCCCCAGCGACGCCGGCGTGAGTCCCTCACGCCCCAGCAGCTGCGTGGGTGGTACGCTGGTTGGGGCTGTAGTGGTGGCGACGCTACTCCTACTTCCATTCCTGCTGCTTCTACTCGTGGTGGCGGCCAGATGCAGCTCCCCGCGACCCTCTCGCGTGTCTCTCACGCCTCGCCAGCTTCGTGAGTGGTACGCTCAGAGTGGAGGGTCTCTCAGTGCTGTTCGCTGCTCTTACGTGATTCGCACTGGTACTCGGACTGGTCAGCCTTGTGGGACACGTAGTCATACACGTCCAGCTGCTTCGCCCGTCTGAGCGACGCCTGGCGTACCGTGTTTGGCGACGAGGCTGAGCTTCCCGACTGGGTGGAGTTGCTTAGGCAGAGGGTAGATATATATGCTCTTGACTATGATGCTATTCTCACTGCCATGTATGCATTGCCTACTAGTGCTGACCGTGCCGGTCACCTGTGCGTCCCGCCTGACCCGGTGGTGCTAGTGAGTCTCCTGCTCCAGTACAGGTGCGGCTCGCTGCTCTAGGTGCTAGTGAGTCTGCTTCCTCAGGTGCGGGTGAGGCTGCGCTCTCAGGTACCGCGTTTGGCTTCGGCCTCCCTCACCGTTACACTTGACTCTGGGGCTTCTCGCTCCTTCTTTCGGGACCGCACCACACTCACGCCGCTTGGTCGGCCGGTTGCAGTCTCTCCCTGGCTGACCCCCTGGGGGTCCTGTCCTCGCTCACTTCTCCACTGTCCTCCCGTGTCCGGCTGCCCCCTCGGGCACCCTGTCTGGCCTGTACCTCCCCTCGTTCTCGACGAACTTGGTGAGTGGTGCAAGACCTACAGGATGCGGGGGTTCACCAGTTTCACTGTCCTGCGAGTCAGCGGGTGACCCACTGCACGGACGCACGCACAGGCCGGCACCTGGCCACGTTCTCGCAGTCGGCCGGGGTCGAGCCTCTACACCCTGACCACTGAGTCTCCTCCTGTCCCCCGCGTCCCCGGTCAGGTACGCAGCGTCGGGTCAGGTGTTTGCTGCTGCGTCCAGGTCTGGTCCTGAGTCTGCCCCCCTGTTCCGGTGTCCGCCTCCTGTCTCACGAGACTCTTCTGTGGCACCACCGTCTAGGCCACCCCTCCTTAGCCCCGTCTTCGGGGCATGGCTTCCCGTGTCCTTGTCTCTGGTCTTCCCCAGTCTCTCCCCTCCCCTTCCTTCGGGCACCAGGACCTTCCTGTGTACCCTGTGTCGAGGGGCGCCTCAGGGCTGCTCCTCACTCCTCCCAGTTTCCCCCGACAGAGGCCTCCTCTGCAGACGCTTCACATGGACGTGTGGGGCCCGGCCCCCGTCCGTGGGCAGGGTCACGAGCGCTACTTCCTGTTGGTGGTTGACGACTACTCGCGTTACACCTCAGTCTTCCCCTTGCGCAAGCAAGGGTGCTGTCACTGAGGTGCTGATCGATTGGATCCGCCAGGCCTCGTCTCTCCAGCTCAGGAGGAGCTTCGGCTCGGACTTTCCGTTCTGCGTCTGCACTCTGACCGAGGTGGGGAGTTCTCCTCTCGCCTTCTGCGAGACTACTGTCGTGCACAGGGGATCCGCCAGACCTTTACGCTTCCGGACTCTCCACAGCAAAATGGGATTGCTGAGCGCCGCATTGGCATGGTCATGGATGTCGCTCGTACGTCCATGATGCATGCGGCTGCCCCCCATTTTCTGTGGCCGTTTGCGGTTCGGTACGCGGCGCATCAGCTCAACCTTCACCCCAGGGTCTCTCGGCCCGCGATGTCCCCAGTGTTACTGTGGACGGGGAAGGTTGGCGATGCGTCTGCGTTCCGTGTCTGGGGATCTCGGGCGTTTGTCCGCGACTTGTCTGCGGACAAGCTGTCCCCCCGTGCTGCTCCCTGTGTCTTCCTTGGCTTCCCCCCTGACGCTCCAGGGTGGCAGTTCTACCACCCCTCCTCTCGTCGTGTTCTGTCCTCCCAGGACGTCACGTTCGACGAGTCAGTCCCCTCTCTACCGCCTCTTCCCCTACCGTACTCCTTCCCTTCCCCCCCACCGGACTTCCTGGTACCAGTTTCCCCCCCGGTAGACCCCCTCCCCCCTCAGGTTCCTGCCCCTTCAGGTGTGTCCCAGGTAGACACGGTCGAGCCAGTCGAGGTTGCTGTGAGTCTGGTCCTGCTGTGGGTGCTGAGCCTGGGGGTGCTGCTTCTGGGGGTGCTGAGCCTGGGGGTGCTGAGCCTGGGGGTGCGAGGCCGGGGGGTGCTGAGTCTGGGGGTGCTGAGCCGGGGGGTGCTGAGCCGGAGGGTGCTACGTCAGGAGCTGCTGAGCCTGGGGGTGCTGGGCCTGGAGGTGCAGAGCCTGCGCCTGCTGGACCTGGGGGCTCTCCGGTTCTTCCGTCTCGGCGGGAGCCGCTCTCTCCACAGGAGCTGCGCGAGTGGTTTGCTCGCCGCTGGAGGCGTGCTGCTGGAGCTGGAGCTTCTTCGCCTGCTGAGGGTGCTGCTGCGGTCCCGGAGCTGCTGGGCCTGCGGGTCCTACTGGAGCTGGAGCCACTGAGTCTGGGGGTGCTGAGTCTGGAGCTGCTGAGCCTGGAGGTGCTGAGTCTGGAGCGGCTGTGCCTGGGGGTGCTGAGTCTGGAGCTGCTGAGCCTGGGGTTTCTCTGCTGCTGCGTCTCGCCGGGAGCCCTCTCTCCCCAGGAGCTGCGTGAGTGGTTTTGCTCGCCGCTGGAGGAGTGCTGCTGGAGCTGGAGCTTCGTCGACCGTCGAGGGTGCTGGTGCTGCCGGTCCCGGAGCTGCTGGGCCTACGGGTCTACTGGAGCTGGAGCTGCTGAGGGTGTTAGTGCTGAGACTACTGCTGTCTGTCCTGGCGGTGGTTCTGCTGCTGGTGCTGCTGGAGGTCCTGCCGCTGGAGGTGTTGGTGGCGCTGGTGCTGTCGCTGAGGGTGCTGGTGCTGTCCCTGCTGAGTCTGGAGCTGCCACGCGGCCTCGGCCGTACTTCGTTCCGCTCCTACAGCAGGTTCTTGGTCTTTCTCCTTCGGTAGAGTGTCCACAGCCTGTCCAGTCGCAGTCACTGTTGGAGCCTTCCTCTCCTCTGCCTGCTCCCTCTCCTTACACTGGTCCTACTGGAGGTCTTGCTGAGCGTCGTGAGCCTGCGTCTCGTCCCGCGTCGCCTGTTCGTGCTACTCGCGCTAGTGGTCGCGGTTCGCGTCAGCGTCCTCCTCCTGTCCCTGGCACGCACCGGATGTCTCTGCGTCTGTCCACTGCTCCTCTGCGTGACCCTTTGCCTTCTCCTCCTGAGTCCTCTCTTGCGCTTGCCGACCCTGAGTCGGACTCTCTTCGCGCTGCCAGTCCTACTGTCACGCGTCTGCTTGCTACTGTCGTCACTGACCCCTCTTTTGAGTCCACTGCTGCGTCTGCTCTAGTCGCTGAGCTCGTTGACTTTGCTGCTCGCTGTCGTCTCGACTACGCTGCTGGTCTTGTTGCTGAGTCTGCGTCTGTCTGTCCTCCGTCCGTCGGGGGTGAGTGTGCTCTTGGCACGGACGTCCTAGAGGACAGACAGGAGGAGTTACTGTGTCTAGCGGCTGCTTCATCATCTCGCGTCTGTATGCTTGCCCCTGAGGGAGACCCGGATGCACTAGACATCCCGACTCCGCGTTCTTACGCGGAGGCCGTAGAGGGTCCCTACTCCTCTCAGTGGCAGGCAGCTATGGATGCAGAGATGGCTTCCTGGAAGTCCACAGGCACCTACGTTGACGCAGTTCCCCCTCCTGGGGCGAACATCGTCAGTGGCATGTGGATCTTCCGGGTGAGAAGCGGCCGCCGGGCTCTCCACCTGTCTTCAAGGCGCGGTACGTTGCTCGTGGCTTCAGTCAGCGGCAGGGAGTTGACTACTTTCAGACCTTCTCTCCCACCCCGAAGATGACCACTCTTCGGGTGCTGCTGCACATAGCCGCTCAGCGCGACTACGAGCTTCACTCTCTCGACTTCAGCACTGCGTTCCTGCAGGGTAGCCTGCACGAGGAGATCTGGCTGCGCCGCCACCCACCTGGCTTCACTGGGACTTCCCTCCTGGCACCCAGTGGAGCCTCCGACGGCCAGTCTACGGTCTCCGCCAGGCACCGCGTGGAGTGGCACGACAACAGAGGACTACGCTGGCGGCACTGGGGTTTGCTCCTTCTACTGCTGACCCGTCGCTGTTTCTGCGCACCGACACTTCACTGCCGCCGTTCTACATCCTCGTGTACGTCGACGACTTGGTCTTTGCCACAGCGGACACTGCTGGACTCGCCTACGTGAAGTCCGAGCTGCTGAAGAGACACACGTGCACAGACCTGGGTGAACTGCGCAGCTACCTTGGCTTGCAGATCACTCGGGACAGAGCACGCCGCACCATTACCTTGACTCAGTCACACATGGTGCAGCAGGTCCTTCAGCGCTTCGGCTTCACGTACTCCTCGCCTCAGGCCACTCCTCTGCCTACTCGCCACTCACTCTCAGCTCTGCCTTCGGATGAGTCCGTAGAGTCGAGTGGTCCGTATGCAGAGCTTGTTGGCTGCCTCATGTACCTGATGACCTGCACACGACCTGACCTTGCATACCCTCTGAGCATTTCTTGCACGCTATGTTGCTCCTGGGAGACACAGACCAGAGCACATGGCTGCAGCGAAGAGGGTATTGCGCTACCTGTGCAGTACGTCGGGCATGGGGCTTGTGCTTGGAGGGCGGAGTCCAGTGGTCCTTACCGGCCACGCGGACGCTTCTTGGGCTGACGACCAGGCTACGCAGCGGTCGTCACAGGGTTACACCTCAGCCTTGGTTCCGGCTCTGTCTCGTGGCGGTCTACTCGCTCGTCTTCGGTTCTCGGCTCCAGTTGTGAGGCTGAGATCTACGACGGGGGCCATGGCTGCACAGGAGCTTCGCTGGCTCACCTACCTGCTGACTGACCTTGGAGAGCCGCCTCGTTCTCCTCCAGTGGTACGTAGACAACAAGGCCATGCTGGCCTTGTGTCGAGAGCAGCGCTTGGAGCACAGAACGAAGCACATTGCTCTCGCTACTTCCTTGCTCGTGAGCTTTGCAGCAGCGTGGTCAGTTGCGACTTGCGTACGTGGCCTTGAGGCCAACACTGCTGATGTGTTCACCAAGGCACTCGCGCCTTGTGACCATCAGCGCTTTTGCACCCAGCTGGGTCTTGTGCCTGTCTTGCCTCACTTGCTCTCCTCTTGACTTCACTTGTACTGTGACATATATATATACCTGCTCTTGCTTGTCTAGTTTTATATATATGTCTGTACTCCTGCATGTGAACTGGCCTCTGCCCTGCTCTTGTGCTCGGACTGTGTGGTGACTTTGTGATCCACCCTGAGCTTGCTTTGCTTTGCTTGACTGTTCTTGTGACCCCTTGTTCTCCCCACTTTGCCTAGGGGGTGTGTCAAACATTAGATATGTTCTGCTTGTGTAGGCTACAGTGGGTTAGCCTATAGGGGGTACACAATTCTAGGGTTTCCTACTTGTACTCATTTCACTGCTAGTTCATTCATTCCTGTTCGCTTATTCTCACACACTCTCACCGGTTCTTT